GTGGCTCTCTCTCTCTCTCTCAAGCCATCTCTCGGCTGCTCTCTCTCTTGGACGATCTTTATACCTTCCTTTTATTATTATTATTATTTTTCCTTTTTGCTGGTGGGCTCTCAAAAGTATCTGTATCTGTCGTCAGTGCCTGTATCGGTGTGTATCGTTGAGGGCTTTTCTGTGTGTGTACACGTACTGTCAGATACATTTTGCCTAGCATTCAGCGAAAGAACATCAAGAAATATGTATGTCTTACCAAATTGCAGTGGTTTCATTTCTTGCAGTTTTTCATTGAATTTTACAAGAACTCGTAATTCTCTCCGTTGTTTATTTGCTTATTAATGTTTTGATTGATTGTCGCAGACACCGCCCAGAAGTACAGCCGAAAGGTATACGTACTCGTGTATCCGTTATGCGAGAAGACCTGTGAAACCCGGGAACAATGATATATGATTGCCTCTGGGCGTTCCAGGTACGGGTTTTCTCTTTTTTATCATTAATGAAATGAAACGGGAAGGGTAATGGCCAGATTCACTTTTCCACTTTGTTCGGCGAAAGAGTATCATTTCTTTCCTTAAAGGAATCTCATCTGTAGCCAGCTCTTTGCAATCTATCGGCTGGAGTACAGCATTTCCTTGAGAGAATGTCATAAACTTGTGCAAACTATCCGCCATGTAATGTGATATTTTATGCATTTTATACACGAGAAACTAACACAAATATTTACTTGGCCCGTTTGACATTGGCGGGGCCTGATGAATGCTTATGACCAAGCATTCAAGTGTCTTCTCCATGCAGGTGTTTCTCTCGGAGACTGGGGGCCACGGAGGGGTCACAGTCAGAGTCAGAGTCAGAGTCGGCGTCATTCACATTTACAGCGTTTTGCCATTGTCATTGGATAATAGAAAAATTGTGAGCCATCGAATGGCTGCTCGACTTCAAAAGTACCCTGGGAAAAAGGCACTCGATTGCTTTTTGTAGTTTCCTCAGCAGCCTTCTGTCTAATATACCCCCACCTGCCCGTGTGCACTGTGGGGCACTCTCGCTATGCAAAGAATAAATAATAAATCCATAACCAGTTTCGCAAAGAGTTTTCCCAGCTGTACAAAAAGGCATTTGCTAACAATTCCCAAGCGCCCGAGCAGGGGGGCGACAACAACCGACAGTCACTCATGAGGCGCGCACGCATCGCCTCTGCCCCGAGATCTGGGGAGGAGGAGGCTGCTGCTGCTGCCGCCGCTGCTAATGAGTTTTCTCTCAGTGCCCAAGTGATTCATGAACAGAAACAGGGCTCTAAACTGTCACCACATCCGTTTCTGCGTCCCATCTCTGGAGGTGCTAAATGAACCCCAAAAAAACCTTCTTTTTGACGTCATCTAACCCAGAAAAAAACCAAAATACTGAAAAAATACCAGTTACGAGCATAACGCGCATAATTACTCATGAATATGGCGGAGACAAGGTAACAGAAATTCTTAATTAAAATCAAGAAAAGATAAGATAAGCGCCTGAGAATGGGAATCTATTTGGCAGGCAACAAAAATATTTGATAAAGTCAAACACAGAAATTAAAATGTGTATTATGTTCTTAAGATAATGTCAGTTCCCATATATACAACAAGTAGGAGTATCTCGCGGCTTCCTGATCTTCGATCGGCCCCAGATAGTGAAAGCTATTCGCCTTTTCTTCGACTTTGACTTTGCCTTCTCGATTGTATAAGAAATCTCAGCACACACAGGAATGTCGTCAGCTTTTGTTTAAATTATTACGTAGACTTCTTCTTCCATATTTCGTTAATTTTATAACAAACAATGGCAATTATCTTTGAAATTCTTTAGCTGTTTTGGGACTGAGTTATTATTGCCATAAGTTGATATTTTTCATTACTTTTGGACTGCCTTTAAGTGTGGCTCGTGATGCATCATTTCGTGTAATGTGAAGGGCTTACATAATACTCCAAAACGAATCGAGCTTGGCATTGTCTCTCTCGCTATTTATGACAGCTAATTGCATAGTTAGACAACAGGGTGGGGAATCAACTCTCTCTCTCGCTGGGATCGACGATAGGTTATTCCCTATGGATCAAGAGGCAACCAAAGGTGAGAGCTTTCCCCTGTTCCACGAATGTACGATCTTTTTTCAGTGCAAATTTCCCATAAGCGAACGGACACCACTAGGCGGGTGCCTCCCTTCAGAAGGGCTTTCTAATCACAGCACTTCTTGGGGCCTTTTTGAGAGGTAATCGCTAAGAGATGACTCGTCCGACTCGAGAATATCTTATTACAAATCAGTTCCCATGAAGCGATATCTTTTATGGCCATATTAATTCACCCACAACTGACTCATTCTTAATTCATTACCAACCTTATAGCCTGTAGCTAAACCCCAACGGAACCTGCTAGAAAAAGTATCTTTATCTCATTAATTCCGCTGTTTGTTTTGTATCATTTCCTCTGCTTAGATAAGACCTACCATATTTGCCTAGAAACTATAATTAAATTCGGTGCGAAATTTCCAAATAAAACAAAATTTAATTAGAATTTACTTGGAAATATGCCGCACTGGGAAAAGTCACCGCCACGTATTTTTGCCTGTATTTTTGGAGGTGGGGATCATCCCCCAGGGTGGGGGTGGCGGAGGGGGCGACACAATCAACAATCGAAATCATCTACCTGTAAGTGCCTAACGGCTAATTTGCTTTAATGATGAGAAACCGCTTAAGTCAACAAACAAGCTGCTGCTGCCGCTGCTGTCACAATGGAGCCTCCATCGCTGTCTGTCTCGTCTCCCCACCAAAACGTACAAGGGGGGGCCTGAAGGAGATGCCTTATTCTCCATTGTATCTATGTACAAATATTTATACCTGTGTGTGTGTGTGCGTGTGTACTTCATGCTTGATTGCAAATTCAATTAAAGTTTGCCCCATTCTCGGCGAGCTCCCTGCTGCTCGGCCAATGGCCAGAAACGGTAGAGCGACAGATCAGAGTGGAGGGACAACGGGAAATCGCTTGACGGAACGGAGCAGAAAACCGAATTATGAATGTACCAAATATTATCAATTATAGAATCCGACCGAGCAGAAGGGCCAAAACAAACGGAAATATGAACAGTTTCGCAAGAGTACATCATTTTGAAGAACCTTATCAAGCTTACATAACAAAATATTTAGAAAAAAAAAATAAAAAAAATACTTCCCTTAGACAAAATATTTTTAGATATTAAACAGAATTTATGCCTTGAAAATGGTTTAATTTTGAGTAAAATTTAAAAAAAAAAAATATTAAAAATAATTTAATTAAAACTTAAAAGTAATCCTTTGATTTATGATTTTTTTAATGATCATCTGTTTTTTTGGTTTTATTAACAAAGCGAGTATACAGTGGATGTTCCATTCAATTTAACGATTAGCTTGTTGATTTTTTTGTGACGTTTTCTGTTGCGCCCGCCTCGCCTCCAAATAGAAATCGAAATCAACAAAAACGTTTTCAGACATGCGACTGTGTCCAGCAATTATTATTATTATTATTATTTCCCTCCGACATTGCCCCATTGAGAGCATCTTCTACCCTGCCCCGCCCTGGGGGACCCCACGTGAACGCTCTCATTGTTGAATATTGTTTTTTTTTGCGGCTCATTGTTTACCTTTGTGTTTGAATTAAAAATCGCTTACAATGGAAGTTCGAGTGGCGGGAAAGTCAAGGTCATCCCCCCGAGCCCAGGCCCAAACACGAGCCGCATCCTCTTCTTATGTGCCCCTCCAATAAATTAAGTCGCGTACTCATCAAGGGGCTAATGCCAACATTCGTAAATCTTGCGGGCTCTTTCTCTCTCTCTCCCCAAAGCGATGATTCAACTTTAAACCGACAAAAAATAAAAAATAAATAAGTAAAAAGCAAACAAATGTTCAAGCAAAGGCGGAACAAAAATCATTCCTTTGTAATTTGCAATGCCTGAAGTATATATATTTATTTTTTTTTTCATAAGTTCAGGGTCGCATCGACATCGTATCCGTTGAGTGGCTTTGGATCTTTGAAAATTACGGGTAATTAATAATGGAGCGGAGATTTCAATTATGGGGGGGAAATCCATTTGGGCACATTTATCGATGGGAAGTCATGGGGAATGTCATGAATGTCTGGCTTTTCCAAGTTTCTGGCGAAAAATCACGTTGCCCTTCGTTAAGCGGGCGTGAAAAATCAATTTTGACCCATGAGCGCATGCAGGTGGAATTTCTAACTGGATCGACAATACACTCACACACACACAAAACCCCAACTTGAGCACGGGCCATAAAGTTATTTGGTAAGCAGCCGTAATTATGGCAGGCACTTGTCCCCCTCCAGATACGAATGGCCCCATGTAGCCATAAACACGTAGCATACGATCAGAGTGGGGAGGATTCGGCACTGCCATCGAGCAGGGTCGCGGCCCCATGTGGGTCAGCATATTGTCAATGTTACCAAGTCGGTCATAGGGCGGGTGCACGGGCACCCGATAAGGCGATAAGGCTTGCCTGCCCAAAAGCTGAATGAATGAAACAATTCGTTATCAGTCGCCAGTCAGTGCCGCTGATTGCCATAAAGATATGTATCCATGCTTTGTGGCCCCTCTAATGGAAGCCTGACTGTACGACTGAATTCCTAGCCTCTCGACAAAAAGCTCATTACGAAATCTTGCCTTTTATCAGCAAATGTTTTACTTCTCGAGACGAAACTCAGGTTACGTTACCCTGGAAATAGTATGCTTTGTCCATTTACTAGGGGCTTCTCCATCTGTCCTTTATGGTATATTTCAAATGAATGGGTCTTTCTGTGAGTGCTTAGGGTATACCCCTAGCTAGCTTGCTTTGCAGGGTATCCCTTGCCTTACTTTGAAGAAAACAAAACACAACTCATTTCGCTATCGCCAATACAGTGAGGCGCAAGTAACTAGAGAATCCATAAATACACTATTCCATGCCTGAGAACCAAACTAACTTTTTCTCCAACTCTCTGTCTCTGTACCACAGCCATAATGTCGACACCAACATCACCGAAGACACCCACGCCACCCACATTGCCGCCGGGTGTGACCAAGACCTGTCACATAGTGAAGCGACCCGATTTCGATGGCTATGGCTTCAACCTGCACTCGGAGAAGGTGAAGCCGGGACAGTTTATCGGAAAGGTGGACGCCAAGTCGCCGGCAGAGTCTGCTGGCCTCAAGGAGGGCGATCGCATCCTGGAGGTGAACGGTGTCTCCATTGGCAGCGAGACACACAAGCAGGTGGTGGCCCGGATCAAGGCGATTGCCAACGAGGTGCGCCTCCTGCTGATCGATGTGGATGGCAAGCCCATAGATGTGTCGCCGCCCTCGCCATCGGCCCTTTCCAATTGCAGCGAACCAACGAATGGCAATGGCAATGGCAATCCGAATGTGAACGGTAATGGCTATGAGGGAACCAAGCAGGAGATGCCCGGTGCCAGCGCCAACATCAGCAGCATCAGCATGGTGAGCATGAAGCGATCCTCAAATGCCAGCAGCATCCAGAGCGGCAGCACCATGAATGCCAGCGACCTGGATGTGGTGGACAGGGGCATTCCTCCGCCGGTGGCTGCCGTCGTCGCTTCTCCCCAGCAGAATGGTAGCAAACCGTCATCGCCGTCGCCGATCAACAACAACACCCTGATGAGCACGCCGCCGCCACCATCGGCCGCGGTGGCCTCCATGAACAGCAACGGCAATGTGTACAGCAGTTCCAATGGCAACACAAATGGCACGGCCTCGCCCACAGCCTCGCCCACTCCCACAGCCATGACAGCGCCCCAGACAACAGCTCCTATGACGGCGGCTGCGGGAGCGGCAGGAAACCGGGCGGGCAGCCTGAACCTCCCACTGACGGTGGCCGAGATGCGGGCCAAGCTTGCCTCCAAGAAGAAGTACGATCCGAAGAACGAGAGCGTCGACCTCAAGAAGAAGTTCGAGATCATCCAGAAGCTCTGAGCGGAGTCCACGAAAGCCACCCGTACTTGTTATAAATTTACACGAAGCAAACAACCGAAAACGGTTCGTCACAAGGAGCAGCTGCAGGAGGAACATATATAATGTTTAACTATTTAGTACGAGTCACTTATTAACTAAGCAAGTTTTTAATTATTATCCATTAAGCAGGCGCGATAAAGGACAGCGCTAGAGAGAAGCCACTTTTGACGTAGAAAAGCCAAGAGAATATGTACCATATACACATATATCCACGATATACGATATAGACATCTTTTCAAGCTATAATATTTTGCATTGTAGTTCATTGAACAACTTTCCGTTGAGTATGTATTTAGTTTTGCGTATTTTTTCCACAGTAAATAAAGCAAAATTAAAAAAAAGAATTATGTACAAGCGAGCAACTGTTTTCGTTAATTGAATAAGAATAAGAATTGATTCAGCTGTCCAAACAAATTCCTACTTAGAAACTCGCCGGAATTAGAGGTCAACAAATATTCAATTCAATAACAATTGCAGAGCCTCAAACAGCGTAAGAAAAAATTCGCCATTTATCTACTGGTACGAGTACGAGTACGAGTAGATTTTAATACAAGATACAAGGCCTTAAAACAGGCCTGTCAAATCCTACAACCTGATAGTCCTAGGAGGAGAGCTCCTTCCGCTTCAGATTGCAGAGAGCGGCTGCCACAATCAGCATCTCGTTAAGGTACCCAAGCATCGACTTCTGATGAATGGAGCTGTGGTGCAGCATTTTGTACTCTCGCAGGGTGTCGATTGTGGCGCGCATCTGGGCACGGCAGGCCGGCTCTTGGAGACGCATCGTCGGCAGCTGGACTGACGGGGCACGCTTCGAGACGAGGGCACCATCCACAACGGACAATGACTCCTGGCTGGCCAACTGTCCCGACAGCCGCTGAGCGTCATATTTGCTGACCGGCTGCCTCTGCTCGTCCAGCGATGCGCAATCGTCATCTTCGTCTGCTTCGTATATGGAATCAGACACTGGCTGGCGGGAGCGTGGCACTGCCTTGCCGGGGTCGGCACACAGCGTGAGATAGTCGGGTACGATGTTCTTGAAGTTGCTGGCCTCGAACAGCTGCAGATCGTCGCACTGGCCGGGATAGGCGCTGGATATGTAGCTGATGATGCCTAGGGGCACAGAAAATCCTCAAATTACATATTGGTATCACATTGGAATGCATTTTATTACCATTCGTATTGATACAGAGAATGAACTTGTAGCTTGGACAGCTAAAGTCCAATGCCTCACTCACGTCCGTTTCCACGCACTCAATCATGGACCGCAGATGCATGAGATCGGACCGGTAGTCCAGCGGCGTGTGCTTCAGCCTGCTGAGGAAGTGGTTGGCGTCCGGCCAGCAGATTAAGGGTCGCAGGCAGCGAGCCAGCTTGATGATGGTCCGCTTGAACGTTTCCTCCGCATCCGACTCGCTCAGCTCGAAGCATTCGGCCAGCAGGGCAAAAGACTCGTTCTGGCGCAGTTTCCTCAACGCTATGCAGCAGTCCAGGTGGGTGACGGCGGCATTTCGGCATATGTGGCGCTTCAGTATCGAAAGATGCTCGCTGGCCAGACCCAGGTGCAGCATGGTCGCGTTCTCCATCAGGCCCAAGGTGACGGCTCGCATGCTTCGCTGCTGCGGCAATTCGCGCTTGATGAAAACAGCCTGGTGCACGGCAGATGAGACGCGGGTAGCGGGTGCCACCGCAGCCACAGGCGTAGCCTGGCTGCCCAGCAGACTCGACAGTGTACTCCTGCTGCTTTTCGGAGCAGGTGTGGCTCTCTTGATGATGGTGTTGGGCGGCAGCGAGCTGATGGCTATTCCCAGGGATTCCCTTTTGATGGCCGTCACAGAATGCCACGGCGAAATGCCAGCCGCCGCCGATCCAGACTGAATCACATACTTGGGGTTCTTCAGCGGAGCTGTCGATTTGTACGCTAGGATTAATGCTAGTTCTGATACATAGTTTGTCTGAGGCTCACTTACTTGTGCCAAAGGCTGCTGCTGATGTGGTCGATGTCGCTGCTCTCTTCATCGTGGTACGGATCAGCGCTGGTATCTTGTTGAGCACGATTCCATCTGAAGTGGCGCTGACTATCCCATCACCCGCTTCCAGCTTCACAAATTGTTTTTGCATCGAATATTCGTGGTTTATATATTTTTATTTTTTTTATTATTATATTATATTATTGTTGTGATTTGGACCGAGGATGATAAAATATACCAAAATATACCGTGAATATACTGACGAGCTCAAGTTCCATTTTACATATTCCTCGATTTCTTTCTTCCGTTGAATATTACTAGCTAGATAAAACATTTAGCCGTGCCCACTCTATTTTGTACGATTAATGAATATATTTTCTACTCGACAGGCTTATTTTAAATACTTGACTTTGATTATTTTTGAATCAATGTTGGTTCTCAACAACAATAGCGTCTAGTATGATGAAAAACCGACCTTAGCCCACTAAAGCCCCCCCTATTTAAATAGTTCAACTACTTGAGGTAAATGGCGTAAAATATTAACGACTGTAAATTCTTTTTGTAGATTTATGCCATCTTTCATCTGAACTTAAAAAAAAAACAATTATATTTCCACCTGAACTGCGCTAACATTATTAATTTTTCATTGTTTTCGGTGGAAAATTGAGATACCCCCTTGGCTTTTAATAGGTTAATAGTTCTCCTTCAAGGATTGGACACCATATTGCTCAATTTAGAGATTCCGTCGAATATTCCCAGCTATATAGAACATTTAGCCGTGCCCACATAATTTTATACGATTTATGAACCCATTTTCTAATTGACTGGTTTATTTTAAACACTTTCTTTTATTGCATTTTGCGTAAAAAGAGGTGTTAGCAAAAATGGTCAAACAAAAAAAGGTATTAGCGAAAAGGTCACACAAAATAACGAAAGGGAATAGTCGTTCATATTGCTCAGTTTTGATATTCCATTGAATAATGCTGACTAACTAAATCTCTCAGCAATGCCCACATAGTTTTATTCCATTGATGAATCAATTTTCTACAAGATTGGATGGTTTTTAAGCCTTGCTTTTATTGTATTTATTGTAAAAAAAGACTTTTAAACGAAAAAGTCCAACAAAAAAAAAGAGTCGCTATGTTGCGTGTAAGCCGTATATAGGCTATACCCTATTTTGTTTATTTTATATAAAAGTATAAATATTGATATGAAGATAAAACGTAACTAATAAAGACCTTTTCTCAAATTAACATTTCTTAGACATATTCATGTATATGATGAGTGTTTTGTATATATATCTCGATCCTGATACCTATTCATGGTCCCTACAAGAAGACAATAAGCTTTAAAATATCGTTGAAATAATGAAAATAATATTAAATAATATTGAAAATAAATATTTTTTTCCTGGGATGACAAACATATTCACAATTCTATAACATCTATTTCCCCCAGGGTATATGCGCATGGAATGAGACTCATTGTTCTGAACCGGTTATGACGACTAATTCTTGGTTAATCTTTCTTCCGTCGAATATTCCCAGCTATATAGATCTCTTATTTTTGCCCAGATAATTTTATATTATTGCTGAAACAATTTCGATCAAGATTAGCTATTTTTAAGTACTTGCATTTTTGACAAAAACACGGTTTCAACAAAAATGTTCAATAGTCGCAGGTTGTGTCGTCAATGTTGCTGGTATTTGCAGACTCATTTGTTGTCAACCAGGGTATGGGTGTTTGTATACCCTATTTCGTTAATATTATGTTAAGATACTGTTTTCCAAGCTGCTTTCAAATGCAATTAATAAAGGCCTTGTTTTAGATTGCATTTTTTTGGTCTATTCATGCATTTGATTAGTTATTTGTATATAAAACCTGATCCCTGTAGCGATTCTTTGTCTCTGTAAGACGACCACTAATTGCAAAATATCGTTTAAAGTAGATACTGACTAGTTTCTGCATTAATTAGAGCATGGATTGAAACACATTTCCGCAATTCTATATCATCCATTTCCCCAGGGTATGTGTGCATGGAATTAGCAACATGTTTGTGTATGGAATGAGACTCATTGTTGCTAAAGCGAACTGGGGCGAACTGCGGCGAATTCAAATTCGATTCAAAAAAACGACCAATTCCTCATATTCTTTGTTCCGTTGAATAATACTATCTATATGGAGCATTTAGCCATGCCCACTCAGTTTTATACGTTTGATGAATCAATTCTATACATGATTGGCCTATTCGAAATACTTGCTTTTATTGGATTTCTATATAACATTGAAAATTAAATTAATAGATTGATGAAATTGACAAAAATACCATGGGAGCGCGGCGAAAACCAGTATTTCTACAGTACGACCCTCAGAACAGCACCGAAACATACCGTCTCATTTAAAAAATATACCGCAAATATACTGACGAGCTCAAGTTCCATTTTACATATTCCTCGATTTTGATTACATACATTTGTATGTAATTACTAAAAGCGACACCTGAAGGGGAAATGTGTACAGTATATATTTCGACGTCCAAATATAACGAACCATAAATAATATACCGTAAATGGTCACCCTGCAGAACAGCCGGTACTCTTCATCGATGATTGACCACCTATCGATGTTTTTCTAATCGTTATCGATAGACATCAAATGCAACAGATGTTTTGGTGGTGAGTACTATCGATACTATCGTTGGCGGGCAGTTTGTTTTGTTTTGGGGCTCAATTCATTTTCAACCTTCGACGTGTTCGGCCGCTGGCGTTTATCCGCTGTCGAAACTATTTTTTGTTTCATTTCGGAAGTACTGAAATCGGTTAGTGGTTCATCTATAAGCATATTAACTACGCCTCTGACGTTTTTGGCTATACTTTCGGTTTCCGGTGATCGGTGACGATAATTGTTTGATACCCCTCCCTCCACCACTGCTAGCCTTCAGGCAAAACTCTGCGACCGTGAATGTTTCACACATATCACACACCGCTGCCCCCCTCAAAAACGCGTAACGCATAAATAATCAAGTAATTTCCATGCTGAAGCTGTGTTCAACCTGTCGGAATCGAACAGTGTTCTTCCTTTAATACAATATGGCTCATCGCAAGCAGAAAACCGAAACCCGAAACCAGTACCGCAAACCCATTATCAGCTCCAATTGCGCATCCGACAGTCAAAGATAAACATCCGTATCAATGCGATCCACTTCCAGCGATAAGTAAGCCGCAGAAGGAGGCATAGGGAGTGGTGCCTGTGGCCTGTGTGGTTCAGTCATTTATTTATTAGCTAATTATTGCTTAAATATTGTCGTTGTCGTTGTTGTTGCCGTTGTCGCATTGTTGTTGTTGCTGGTGCTCTCAGGTTGAACGCACTCTTTTGTGGGAGCCAGAAAGAGGTCATGCCAGCGCGGTTTTTTTTTGTAATTTAATTAAATTTCGTTTTTTTGTGTCTGTGTGTCTGTGAGAGTGTGTGTGGTGCGTGTGTGTATGTGTGTGGGGATAATCAACGAGGGCCGCCACCGCCTCCACCCACACCACAGACAGACAGAGATGGCAATAGAGCAATCGACTTTGCCACAAATGATTTAAGATTTTTTTTTATATCTTTGGGGCCTCGCCATTTGCTGACAATTAGTGGTATAGCAAATGTTTATTGATAGAACTTTGAATTTTTTATAAGATTTTTATTAGTCCTAAACTTTTATCTGCGAAAACTTTGATTTATTTATATATTTATTTGCTCATTCAACAATTCCCGGAGACTATCCCTTTTTTCCCATAAAAATTGTAAGCTGTTTCTTTTTTTAGTTATCTTATTAAATGTTATTTAAAGAGATTAAAATGGAAACGAGCTAATAGCAATAAGCAAACAGCTTTTCCAGCCCCCAGAAACGAAGCTCTATAATTGTTCCCTCACTTGCACTCATCTCAAGATCGTAAAGTACAAGTGTTTTGGGTTGTAGGCCATGTGATTAATGTGGCTCACTAGATCAGAAGTGGCGGCACGTAGCTCTGTTCCCTTGTCCCTCCCGCCTCCCACCCCGTCTGGAACATTGCAATTAACTGGCACCACACCACGCCACAGCCCACCTTGCCCCCCATGCTGCCCCGTGCCCCCAGCCACACACCATATAGTACACGCCGTTCACGTTCGATTTGAATGACGCAGATCGGCTAACTGCAAAAGTGCAAAGCCAACAAGTAATGATCTGAACAATGTTTGCCACCTGTACGAGTATCTGTATCTGTATCTGTATCTGTACGAGTAATGTCTTACCCGACAGACGGAACGGTGTAAATTTCAAATTGCCAACGCCAGCAGCAACACGTCGAAACAGAAGCGCTGTTGTAAGCCACTAATTTGCCCATTTTCATTTTCATTTCCATTATTTATTTTTTGTTTTTTTTTTTATTGCTGATCTGTCAAGACCGCAAAACTGCGGCTGGCAGTATTTTTGTGGATTTTATTTCGCTTCATTTAAGATATAATATTATATTTCTATAGAGTGGGAGCGGGAGTGGGGATGGGGGAGGGGGAGGGAAATTAGATACGACTTGGCACTTTAATGAACCTCTGATTTGATTAACCAATCAGCAAAGCAAACGAAAGTCAAATTGCTCCGAATCGTTTGTCATGGCACTCCGAATTGGAGCAAAAACTCCGAATTCCAATCAAAAGCGGCGGCGTTGCGCTGCCCAGCGCCTGCGTAACTGTCAAATGTTGTAAAAAATCAATAACACAAATGTTAACATGCCCGAAATGCTAAAAACGCACAGAGAAACACACACAACACAGCCACAGAGGTGGAAAAGGAGTCGCAAACGAAACAGACCAACAAAAAAACAAGTCCAACAACCAATAAAATGAGCAACAAACATACAAAAAAAAGTCAACAACTTAAGGCAGCCAGAGATCGGCGTCGGATCGGGCCAATCGTTGCAGTCGCCGAGATAAAGCATTTGACACTTTTCTTTTGGTTAATAAAAGTTGCTAATGAGTTGTCCGAGATGTTGATTTTTTGTTTTTGTGGCTACCCAGCCAATGGGATGGCATGCGATGGGAAGGTGGAGCAGTCTAGACCATAAAGATTTCTACGAGTGAAAGATGGTTCTAAAGGAGCCAACTCCCTTGAAGACTTCAATCAATCCAATCTTTAAGGAACTTAAAAAACCCTCTTAATTGTTCCAACTCTCTGTGAAATTCCCTCAATCAATACATATACAAATCTCTCCCGACTATCGCTTAATGATCAGCAAAGTATGTGGTTGATCGGTCCATTCATAGAACCGACAATGTCCGCCGCATAGCATAGCTCTTGTCCATTGAAAACTGACTAAAATGAAGTGCGTTCATAAATATTTATTAGGCATTGCTAAATTGGGCACTAAGTAGTCGATAATTTAAGCAGACCGGACCAGACCAGACCAGGCCGACATGAAAATTGTTTAGGCCAGGCACTGCACTGGCCATTTGGCCGATTTGGCTGCTGAATGAAAAGTGTAAATTGTCGGCTTACCCAAGACCAATACCCCGGACAGACCTGGAGCTGTAGCTGGAGCTGGCGCTGGAGCTGGAGCTGGAACTGCAGCTGTAGTCAAGGATGGAGTGGAGTGTATGTATGTTGGAGTCTCCAAACACAAAACACGAACTTAAGCGCCAGTTGGGGACGACATTAATTTATGGGCCCCAAACATTTTGCCTGCCATTTAAGCGACAAAGACAAAGTAGCCTGCGCCTTCGCCTGCGCCTGCGCCTGCGCAGCGATGTTACTTACTCGGCCTGGAACGTGTCGGGATTATTAATTAGCCCCAAGCCCCAGTACACTGCATTCCCCCGCTGTGGATGGAGTGGTGGAATGGTATGGTATGGATGGAACTGCGCACCTGAGCTGTTGATGATCTGTGGCCGGCCTGTGGGAATATTCCGTTTTTGGGCAGGTCAGATTGAGAAGATTGAGCAGAAGGGATAATGGGAATTCCACAATTGGAATGATCCACCTTCTGCTGGTATTTATAGGCTCCAACTCGCAAGTGCTTCCCCATTTAGATATTTGCTGCACCCCAGGCAATAATTAGATACCTACCCCCCACATAGCATTACCGATGACAATCGTACCACTAATTGGCTGCGATTTTCATGCCCATTAAGCGTAAACTGACTGACGATGGATTAACATACGAAAATGACTACAAATTGCACCAAATAACAAAGCCAAAAGTCCAAAATCAGTCGACTGCGAGCGGTGTGGTGTTTGGTTTCATTAACTGTACTCGAAGCGTGAAAACGTGATAAAATTTGAGTTCGTTTCAGGCTCTGGCTCTGGCTCTAGCTCTAGCTCTGGCTCTGGCCATAATCTAAATCAGAGATCACAATTTGCGAATTGCGCGCGCAGTTTGGAAATCAGTCAGTCGGACAGCCTGTCGGACAGCCAGTGGCCAGTAGTTGGTCGGCGGCATAGAAATAGTATGGGTTTTAGTTTTAGTTTATTCTCGGGCCTGTCCAATTACAAGCGACATGAACATAAATAAGATTTTATTAAGTGCTAATTTCTGTTTAATGCTCAATATGGTCAAAACATTGCTGCCCGTTGCTGATGCCGTACAGGCGATAAGTCAATTTTCTTGGCAATAGACACCACCGCGATTGGCGGTTGGACTGCACGGATGGGGTCTCTCCTCAGAATGGGGGAACAAAGAATTGGAACAAAGAAGAGGAACTGGTAAAGAAGGAATTCACTCGAAAGTACAGCTTTTATCTAAAAAAACCCAATGAAAAGGTAACATCAAATGTTCCATCGTAATCTCTATCTGCCGAATTTGTACAACGCCACAATGGCCACGGCCAGTAGGAGCACCACAAATGCCACACTCCCAAATAGAGCCAGCGACTTGGACACCTCAGCCACGCCCAGGTTATGCCCCGCCGAGTCCTTCACGGCCGGCACTTCCTCCTCGGCGCCGGGCATAACCACACGGAAGGTCAAGTGCGACAGTTCCGAAATCTCTGTGCCATTTCCTGCTGTGCCGAGGGCGGCATTCCGTCTTCGGCGCTGGCCCACGGATGGCAGGCAGTCCTGGGCCGTGATCTGGCAGTCCTCGCGCTCCAGACAGCCCGTGATGCGCATGGAAATAACCAGGACATCGCCACTGCGCATACCCGGGAACATCACGGCCTTGAAGTGGAAACGCTGGCCCAGAGGCGGCTCCATGACGGGGGAATGGCTGCAGATGGCCTGCATGGCGGGGTTGAGGCATCCCCGGGAGCTGACCAGCTGGACGGTGTTGAGAACTTCCCCGCCAGCGGCTATCCTCTGGAGCTGGACGTCACTCAGCTTGGTGTAGTTCCAGCCTGTGAAGGGATTGAGAGTTAACCGGAGGCTCCGCAAGTTTCTACTACCTTCACGCACCGTCGCCTGCCAGGACGTGGGCCCGCAGCAGGAGCTCCTCGCCCAGCTGAACGGCTCCGTTGCTCTCCAGGTGGCGGGTGTAGCCGTTGCTGCCACGCCGCAGCAGCTCCACGTGGGTGCGGAAGGCGTTCTGATTGCCCCCGTGGGCATAGTTTCCCACGCTGCGCGCCTGCCTGAAAGGAGAAGGATCAAGAGGTTGGAGGATCGCCAAGGCATTCCATCGAAGGATCTACCCACACATCATTGGCCACGCCCATTTTGAGGGCATGCGTCTTGACGGCCACCCGCTCCTGGGACTTGCAGTGCAGCGTTAGAATGGAGTCCCCGCCGGTTCGCAGTCCCCTGATGGTGGGGAATCGCAGACGCAGGCACAGATCCTGGCCACAGGAGCGGACGCCACAGCGCTCAAAGTCCGCACCGGCAATGTCCAGCAGCAGGAAGCTGCGCGCCAGCTTCAGTTCGCACCGCTTGTCCTGGACGTCGTCGCTGTCGTGGTCCACCGTGGGGGCGGCGCCCAGGAAGCTGTCCAGCTTGAGGACCGCCCGAAAGAAGCCCGCCTGCAGGCATCGCATATCCTTGAGGCGCAGCCGGAGCTGCTGATCAGCACTGCTCTCGCTGGGCGGCAGATACAACGGCGCGGGCGTGGAGGGTCTTTGGGCTGGGGCATGGTAATCGTAGCCAGGGGAGTGGATGGTCTCAATGTCCTCGCCCGGATCCTGCACGATGATGGGCTGTGCAGTGGTGGTCGGCGGACTGGGCGTGGCAGGCGGTTGGGGATAGTAGTAGGCCGGATAGCCTTCCTCGCTGCAGAAAGAGAATATTGATCAAAGATTCACTTCGCTGTGAATGGAGGCCACACCTACCTGGGCTTGGGACTCTCATAGCTGGGGCGCTCCTCGATGGCAGGCGGCAGATAGTTCTGGCTGAGGGGTATGAAGCTACCATGTCCCTGTCCCTGCCCCTGTCCGTTTCCGTGTCCCTGGAACTTGACACTTCGATTCTCGATGATCTCCGGCAGACTGAACTCGGTGGTGGCCGCTGGGGCCACGGGAGCGGGTGCAGGAGTGACGGGATTGGGCACAGGCGGTCCGTAAAAGGCGGCGGGATTCAGACCCAGCTGGAAGGGCACCTGGCCATGCAGATAGCCGCCCAGATCCGTGGGGGCTGACGCAAAGAAGTGGGCCACATCCGCACGACTTCCGCGAATAAATAGCGCCCCGAGGAGGATAATGATTGGGTGCGTCCCACTGGTTGACATTCTGGATGATCACTGACTGATCGGGCCCAGGGCGAAAGTGGTTTTATAAGCTCCATTTGCTGGTGGGGATGGGCGTGACTGGCGATTGACCCGGATTCCATCGAAACCAAAGCGTTCTTTTGGGTATTTTTGACCACTTTCCATGCGGCTACTTTTAATGGTCGAATGTTTGACACGACTTTGATGTTTTGGGCCGACTTTCCTTGGTCACGAGCCCCCGGACTGGGGGATTGGGTCAGGTTATGTAAAGCTAATTGTCAAGTACTCCCCAGACGATACCCATCCTCTGGTCACTTGTTGCACAAATCATTTGCCATTTGACATCTCGCTTGCGTACAAACTAATGACAACAACAGCAGAAGCAGAAGCAGCAACACACAAATGCATCTGGCAAAACAGCTGCAGCGACATGGCCGACACAGGTTGCCGCATAGCAACATTTTGGCCATATTGCGGAGCCAATCAAACTTAACGAGCCGACAATCTGTCCGATATGTGCCCGAAATGGTCTGGCTCTGGCTCTGGCTCTGGCCCAGGCAAGAAGCCATCAATGAGCGTCATAATCGAATCAAAAGGCCACGAATCGAGCCCCGAACTCGATCTAATCTTGAGCATTTGTGTCTTGTGTGGTGTGGGAAGTGTTTGTTCTCTTTTTTGGGCACACAAATGTCCGTGAAGCTGTCCCTTTAGATGATTATTGCAGGGGGTTTTACTGAGTTTACTGAGACACCAGTTACTGTGGCAATTATGAATCCGGTTTCTGTGGTATTGAGGAAGCTCTGGCTGCAGCGATACGATCGATATCCATGCATCTCCCAGGGGCAGCCATGAGAGATTGGCCAAATTGAATGCAATTAATTGAATTTACAAGACACACACTTCGAGCCACACATCGAGGGGGATCATTAAGGCAGGCCAAATAAGCCCCAGGCCTGTGTAGCGGTGACGTCAATTAGCTGGGCGATCGAATTTGATTTACGATGCCAACTCTTGCCATACTTATGAGCCGTTTCCCTCCAGGATCTCGATCGATCGAAGCGATCTCTCCTCACTCTATCTAACTATCTGTGACACAATGCCCGGCACCTCGTATCCCACGAATAACGATAATTTCAGCCACGGCTTCCCCATGGCCACCACACAGAGCGAACGCCTGCTGCAGGCCCAGAATCGGCGCAAGTTCAGCTTCCCGGCCACGCTCCACTCCGCCTCGCTGCTGGAGGTGGGGCAACGCGAGACGACCCGGCGGCGCCTCAGCAATGTCAGCGACGTTGTCACCAGGAAACTCTCCTACACCATTGGCTGGAAGGCGGCACAGATTCCCGCCCAGGACATCATAACGCAGGTGGGGACACAAAGAGGGCTCGAATGCTCCATCTAACAACCCACTGGTGTCTTCTTCCAGGGCCGCTGTCTGTGCGGGCACTACATCAAGCGACGCCTGAGACGATCTGGTTTGTTCAACAAGAAGTTGGGCCTGCAGCGAATACGGAGTATCCTGGGCTCCACCTCCATGGGCATTGTGCGGGATGTCTTTCCAGCGGTTCAGGTGGTGCGTATCCTCTAAAAAGATTGTGCTCTACTGATCCCATTCGCTTTGCAGCTTGGCGACGAACTGGAACGGATGCATCCCCGTGCCTATAACGGCGTCGCCCGTCAGATTTGTCGCAATCCTGGGGGCGAGTTCCACACACCCGATGCTGTCAGCCTGCTCCTAGGGGCGGTGGGTCGGGATCTGTTCCGGGCGGACATCACCTGGAGCAAGGTGATCTCGCTGTTTGCCATTGCCGGCGGCCTGTCGGTGGACTGTGTGCGGCAGGGGCATCCCGAGTACCTGCCCAAGCTGATGGAGAGCGTCTCGGAGGTGATTGAGGATGAGCTGGTGCCCTGGATCAATGAGAACGGTGGCTGGGTAGGCTCTTCGCTGCAGTCACTGCATTCACATTCACTGAAGATTATATTTTCTTGTGGTTTGCCTTTTCAGAGCGGCATCAATACCCATGTCCTGCCCACGACGAACAGCTTGAATCCGCTCGAGTGGACGACGCTGGTGATAGGTGTGGTTTTTGGCCTAATTCTGCTTTTTATGTTCTTACGTTTTATAGTAAGCACGATAATACCGAAAATATATCAACGATTTACGAACTGAATGCAAAGGAAATTTGAATTTGCCGCCCATAAAGTGCAGAAAGCTCTGACAAGCTTTGAAGCTTTCGATAAAAGCTTTCAAATCGTGCGATCTTCTGATTTTCAATGCCTGCGAATTATCAGACCTGACATGATCTTAAGAATGACACATATACATATGTATATATATAAAATCTCAGGAAATATCCATCCACAGAATGTCTGCTGGGTTGTTGTGTTGTTGCACAATCCATCAGGACTGATAACAAACGTTTCGATTATAATCCACTTGATACAATTTGACAGACGGGCAGGCTCAGAGATAGATAGGACTTACAATCGTTTATTATTATACAAATGGTGAGGGAAGGGGGGACGAAGCTTCTGCGGACTAACATTAAAATTCAATAAATGCAACAAATAGTTCTCAATTCTGGATCATAGAATCTGATCGGGTATTTATGCTACAACACGTGGCGCGGTTACAACTTGCCCGTCAGCTCGGGCACGGCCTTGAAGAGATCCGCAACGATGCCGATGTCGGCCACCTGGAAGATGGGTGCCTCGGGATCCTTGTTGATGGCCACAATGGTCTTCGAGTCCTTCATGCCGGCCAAATGCTGGATGGCGCCAGAAATGCCAACGGCAATGTATAGGTCCGGAGCCACGATTTTGCCCGTCTGTCCAATCTGCAGATCGTTGGGCACGAATCCAGCGTCGACGGCGGCACGGGAGGCGCCGACAGCAGCGCCGAACTTATCGGCCAGATCGTAAAGCAGCTTGAAGTTATCGCCGGACTTGAGGCCGCGTCCGCCGGAGATGATAACCTTGGCGCCCGCCAGCTCGGGACGGTCGGATTTGGTCAGTTCCTGGCTGACGAATTCAGACAAGCTGCTGGCGTAGTCGCCGGCTGCGGCCTGCTCCACAGCGCCGCTGCCTCCGCTGGTAGCCGCTGGCTGGAAGTTGGTGCTACGCACAGTAAGCACCTTGATGGGATCCTTCGACTTGAGGGTGAGGATCGCATTGCCGGCGTAGATGGTGCGCACAAAGGTGTCCTCGGACTTGATGTCGATCACCTCCGAAATGGGCGACACATCCAGCTTGGCGGCCACGCGGGGCAGCACGTTCTTGCCAAAAGCTGAGGCTCCAGCCAGGATGTGGGTGAATTTGAACTGCGCCTGGGCGGCCACGACCAGGGGCGTCAGGGACTCGGGTGTGAATCCCTTGAAGGCGGCATTCTCGGCTACCAGGACCTTGGTCACGCCCTCCACCTTGGCCAGAGCTTCGGAGGCCTACAAGTGATTAGATGTGATTATGCAAAAGCATCGAGAGAGGCAACAAAAACAACATACGGGTCCGCATTTGGTGCCTGCCACAAGAACTGTCACGTCACCGCCGATCTTCTTGGCCGCCGAAATGGTGTTCAGGGTGATTGGGTTGAGAGCCTCGTTGTTGTGCTCGGCCACCACCAAAGTGCTCTTGCAGCGCTGCAGCTGCAAATAAAAAGTTATTTAATAATTTTCATCCAGCAGCGCCTGCGCCAGCGCCAGCGTCAGCGTCAGCGTCAGTGTCTTACAAAGCTGCTGCGCATTAAGTTACGAGTGTTGCTGGCAAACATGGTTGATCTCGGTAATAAGACGATCTGTGGGGTTGCAAGAAAGACGTTTGTGACGTTAATTAGTTGCTTCAAATATAATTAATTAAACGGAATCACAGAAAGTCCAAAGGTTCCACTCAGCTGTTCAGGCGCTAGGCGTTTTTTGGCACATTTTAGTTAACAGTCAGGCGGTATGTTAACTAAGCGACCTCTAACAGTGACTGGTAAAATAATCGCTTAAGCAATTTACAATGATAACCGTATTCCACTACACTTTAGTATTTCTCTAGAGATAGAATTTGTCAAAGCAATAAATAATGTTGTCACCCTTCGCCAGTCACGCCTCACGAAGAGCTATTTTATTGTCTAAGAGAGTAGTTTCTAAAACTGTTACTTGCAAATATTTTTGTGGCCGATAGCGCATCTCTAGAACATATGTTTTCGAACTGTCTGGCAGCACTGTAATTCCTGCATTTTGTGTCTTTACATTTATTTAAAAAAAATTTTGAAAATTTTTAATTTTAGCTAAAGCTAATCTGCTGTTTATACACGTCATCAAATGAAACGAGGCGTACCAGATCGGTGGGTATAATTGAAGGGTACTCCACATCCAATATTCCGACTAATCAGCGTTTGTTTTCCTGGTGTTCGCGCTTGCAGATGGCTCGATTACAGTCCCATCGGAAAGCGTGTTCCCGGCACGCGATTCATAGCCTTCAAGGTGCCGCTGAATCAGGTGAGTTAGCTCCCCCTGACCCCGCTCCCCACCGTGTTGGGGCTCTGTCGGGCCAAACCGGTTGCCAGGAGGAGCGATTGATGGATGTTGAAAAGGGCCCACCAGCACCAGGACCAGCGGACCACCAAGCGAGCGCCAGAGCCTCTAAAAATAAATAACAACAGACAAAAATTTGTGCATCGTAATTATGCATAAAAGTGGCAACTGGAACATGATGCTCCGCACTGCTGGTCTGCACTCGATCCTGCGGAAAGAGTGGGGCACCCCACATGAATATTAAATTAAATTGTTTTTGCTTAATTAAATAACGCCACAGAGATCGCGGGACCTCCTGCTTATTAATTGCCTGGCCCCGGGGCAGGCGCATAAATTGAGCAATTTTTCGCATGTAATATGACTTTCGATATATGTGGAATACTCCTTGTATTTGCCCTTACAGAATCTCAATGAAAAAGTCGACAAGGAGCTGCGACTGGGGCCCGAATCGGTGATGGAGTCGGTGCCCAATCTGGGCATGATCATCGATCTGACCAACACAGACCGCTACTACCGGCCGCAGTCGTTCACAGAGAACGATGTGAGGCACCAGAAGCTGATGATACCCGGAAAGGCAACGCCGCCAACGAAATTGGCCCAAAAGTAATTACAATTGATTGAATGTTTTAATCATTTACTGACTGAAGCCTCTTGCCATTGCAGATTCTGTCAATATGCTATGGACTTCCTCGAGTTGAATGAAGACAATGGTGAGTGGATGGAAAGCCCAGCTTAGCAGCGCCTCGCCTGCGGCCCACGTGCTGCCCCAGAGAGAGGCGGCCGTGGGAACGCTTTCCCGGCAACAATGCAGATGCGATGCATATCTGTGGAAACAATTAGAGTCGCAAAATATGTGAACAAATCATATCAAAAGCGACTTGCCGTCGCACATGCAATTACCACGTATCCTATCCCTATCCCATTCCCATTCCCATTGCATGCCCAGGCTGCACTGCCTCCATAGATTCCTATCAGCCAGCAAGCGCAGAGCAAACACAGCAGAGCCAAGTGGCCGCCAGAAGGAGAGAAAACCTATTTAACCCTTTAGCAGTGCACTGGCGCACACCGATGTGGGCGCGCACACTCAATCAGTCAGTCAGCCAGCCAGCCAGGCAGTCTGTCGGAGTCGGAGTCGGGACTCGGCAGTCGGGAGCCGGGCAAACAAATCACTTATGGAGGAGCTCAGTCATGCCTCCGCACACAAAAGGGAAAAGGCATTTCTAATTATACACAAAGGCATTCGCGCACACACAAACACACACAAAACCGCATTTCATTTAAATTTTCATAGCCGAAGAAACGGCAAGACGCGTGACTACCAGCAACCAGGCAGGACAGACAACCAGGCACAATGTCTATGCCCCTTAAAGATGAGGGAATGTAATATTTTCATACCCTAGGGTATCGTATCCGCAGTTCCTCTACCTTGGGTCCCTTCTGCAGTGTAGATCTTGCGGCAGGGGCGTGCATATATCCCCTGATCTAGTCTAGCGCTAATGTATGTGCGAACAGCTTCGGCACAAATATGCAGAAATGCTAACCAGAATGCATTAACCGATTCGGTCGCGCAGACCTTCTTCCATCAGATTCAGCTGTGGGATAATTAAAACCCGATCTGGCGCCGCTGAGTAAACAATAAATAAATACGCGAAGACTGCCAACGAATTTACAACGAAACAAATCAGGCAAATAAGTCAAATTCAAGGTGGTCGCGACTTGTCAACGGCCAGGCCAGAGGAACAGGGCCCAGTCGGAGAGGTCTGATCACAGTGGTATGAACAAGTATATTAGTGGAGTTTATTCTTTTGTCCATCACAATGGTCTTATATGCGAGTAAGCAGGCGCCCATCCCACTGTGCCATGGGCAGTGCGCAATTGTCTCTGTCTGTTGCTTGGTCTCGTTCCTGTTCCCATTCCCGTTCTCGTAACTTTATTTTGTCTGTACGTTTGGCTTAAATGCAAGCCAAACATGACGTACTCTCCGACTGGCAGCTCTCCGACTGGCACCGCACCCGCATAGTGCACAAAGCCAAGCCACCGCGACCTGGTGGGTTGTCTGCCTCGTGTCCCCGCTTCGTACCCTCCTGCTGACATGTTTTTGTGAAATTTATTGCCAATGTTATTATTGGCAGAGCGCGCTGTTTTCTAGATTTAGCCCAGGTCGCTTCTGCTTTTATGCCAAATTGGCAGGCCGGTTTCTGTTGACTGCGTGGGTGTGGAGGGGAACAGCGCAGTGCTCAGAGCTCAGTGCTCGGAGCACATTCCTGTGGCCGTGTTCACTTTTGAAATTTGTAGCAATTTGCGACAACATGCAGCTCATGCGGCTAATGCGGTATGGCACCACTACATCTGAATGCTTTCTCTCTCTCCTCCTCCTCCACCGCAGATAAGCTGATCGGAGTCCACTGTACACACGGCGTGAATCGCACTGGATACTTGATCTGCTACTTCATGATAACCATGCTGAACAAGTCGCCCCTGGAGGCCATCGCGAGTGCGTGGGATCAACGGTCAGCGAATTCAGGCACAGATTAATTACCAATCCCTCAATTGCAGCCGTTGATGCGGCACGAGGCCACAAGATCGAGCGCGAAAACTACCTGAGCTCCTTGCTACGCCTGGGCAACCTGAAATCGGATGTGGACGAGCCAAGCCATGACACAGGCTATGCGAATCACTACAACAGGCGGCCGGCCTGGAACGGCAATGCAGGTGGACGACAGCAGCAGTATCAGTACCAGAGTGAGTAGAGCAGTAGCAGAAGTAGCCGGCGCATAGGATAATCCATTGAATGATTGGATTTACAGGACCCTATGACAATAGCCAAGATGATTCGCGTCAGAGTAATTGGCGCAGCAATTGGAACAGCAACAACGGCTACCACGATCTTAGCAGAAGTAGGTATCTTGTGGAGGATAGGGAACGCCATCAGCCAGAGGTCGGCTATCGGTCGAACGGCAATGGGTGGCCGCAGCAAGGCCGTCAGCAATATCAGGATAGGAGCAGAGATCGCGACACGGGCTGGAGACGCCCTCAGCAAGACGATCGTGCCAATGGATGGCCACAGTACCATGGAAATTTCCGCCACAACAATTCGGAATGGAAAAGCCCAAGAAATGGAAGTGGCAATGGAGACGACCCTGAATGGAACAAGCCGCACTGGAATGGCTCCAATCACAGCAACAACTGGCGCCAGAGCCATTATCAATCGCGAAACGAACACAATTCCGGGGGCCATGAAACACCGAATCACCGCACATATTACCAACCATATAACAATCGAAAGAGGGACAATCGATACACCTACTTTAGCCAAGACAACTGATTGTTTAAGCCATCTTCAGGCACCTTCCATCAACACATCAGTAAATCCTATTGCCATTCATACCGTTAACAGACCACAAGACAACCAGACCACCAAAATAACCAGAACTACAATTAAAATTCATTTACAACATGGACAGAGGGCAGGCCAGTGCTGATGGCCGCTGGCCATGATGGTAGTTAACAAGCAGTCGGCAGAGATCGTGTGAAGATACAATAAGAGCAGGTAAAAATTTGCATTTGGCTGCAAAAAGCGCGTGAAATTCCTGGAAATTAGTGACCAGTGGAGCCGTCGGTGCCAGCGGCTCTGCTCCTGTGTCAAGACCGCCCGAACAGTGGGCTAGACCCCACCCCGCCCTACAAAAGGGACCCTGAAAGTGTATAAGTATGGATAATATTCGTAAGCAAACGTTAAATATAGAATTAAATGCAAAGTTGAGAGCACTGTACAGTATTTTGCCGGCTTTGGATCTGTGCGACTCCCATGGTAGCAGGGCCCTGCTTGGGGGCACGAGTACCTGTCATATTGACGGCTCCTGATCGTTTCATTATTTCGCCATGGTGGTCAAATGTCAACTTATTAGCATAAATGTGGCTGCTGTCGCATCGTTGGCCCTCGAGCACCGGCCGACATGCTATCTGGATGTGCAATCTTATCGGCCGCACGATCAACGATTGTCATTATAGCCAATGGACCGCGAGGCTCGGACAGCGACAAATCGTTGGCCATTACAATGGCTCGGACGGGGTCTGGTCGAGGATCTCAGATCGTATCGTATCGATAAACGCCTGGTGTGGCATGTGGCGTAAAGTTGTTTGTTGCGCTTAATTGGACAGCGTTTCGTGGTCGTTGGTCGTGTCTGCTTGCCTTTTTTTCGGTTTTCGGTTTTCGCTCTTTATTTTTAGCATCTGACTGACCCAAAGAGTGGCCCAGCCATAAAGGGAAAGTGCCATCAAATGCTGAAGCGGAAGGTCCCCATCTGATTGGTAATTTAACTATGTATATCGGTCTTCGGAAACAGTTCGTAGAAGTTCGCTCCTAATCGCAGCATTAGCTCTCAACTGCCTCGGTTCTGAATGGCTCTCCAGCTCCCTTGGGGGTCCAGGTCCATGCCCCTGATCGGTATATGGGTCTTTTGGTCATGCCGACGCCCCAGCCCATCCTCCCTTGGCTGCCATAAATTGCAAAATCAACCAAAAATTGCCAATTGTCAGTTCCTTTCATATATTTTAGCTGTGCTTTTTTTTTATATTTAGTTTATGGCCTCTTCGGGGGGACGACGGGGGGAAAGTGTGGCCAATTTCCACTGGCTGAGAGCGGGTGCCCATTTATCTTAGCATAACTTGGAGCGCGATAATTGCATTCCAAGGCAGGCCGCCGACTCGGTGCTAACTCCACTTTGAAGTCCGGAGCAGACAATTAGGCACGGCTCATAAATTGCCATCTCATATGAGAGGTCCGAGAGTGGCGCGGGCATTGATTTAAATAATAGTGTTTAACTGTGGCTGGCTGTGCCCTGCCCTGCGCCCTGCCCTGCGCCCTGCACGGCCCCCTGAATCGCAATCATCCGGCCATTTCAATTAGCCAGTGACAAACAATAGGTGTACCCGTGGCCAGGGATATCACTGCGCATGCAGCCACTGGGGGGACACTGAGGACTCAATTGTTGTCGGCGAGCCCTTTGTCTGTGTCGGGGTCGGGATGTCTGGCTGATAGCCGTGCAGACGGATTGAAATGGAGGGCCAAAATCAGGTGAAATCTGAATATTGTCAGCCCGGAATGGAATGGAACAATTAATGAGTCCAATGAAACTGTGCAGGCAGACGGGGCATAAAAATCGATATGTTGAAATGCGGTTCGATTAAGCCCAACCCACCCTCAATCGAAATGCAATTCCTCGGACGGGTACGGGTACGGGTACGGGGATGTGGGAACCCATGCAACACTTGCCATTTATCGGCGAACGCAATCTTAATTAAAAGCCGCCCCCAGATAAAACAAATGTTTACTTTAAAGTCGATTGGGATCGGAGTCGGGCAGGGATCGGGCAGATGAAATCGATTTGAGTCGCGTTGAAAACCCACGAATCGCCGCAATTAAAGCGAATGAAGGGCGAGAGTTTATCGTGGCCCTTTAGATACGGATGCGAGGCACGCACATGACCCAGGAGCCCCGCCCCATCATTAAGGCGAAGGCTCCTTCCAGAACGGGTTTTCAATGCGTCGTGTGAAATGTGTGTCGCTGGTGGGTGGAGTACATGGACTGGGACATGGACATTCATGTACAATTGCTGATGATGATGGCCATCTCTGGGTTGCCCATCTCTGCAGCTGCCCACGCAAAATGCACTCCAGTCCCTGGCATGGCCATCAATTTATCCCCTTCTATCCCATCTATTTATACTGGGTTTCTTTCGTTTTTTTTGGCTATGGCGCCGGGAGCATAAACTTTATTGTCGCCACATTTCTGCTGCATACTTAATGGCGCCACAGCGGCACACGAAAAATGTGCCAACCGAAAAGGAGGCGAGTGTCAACGAACTTTAAAGTGGGGGAAGGGAGTGCCAAATGGCTTGAGAGGGTGAGAAACTCACCCACGCAGCCCCCCCAGACATCTGCAGTCCGGTCCCAGCGACACAGCGACATCTTTCTTCCTTTTTCGGCAAATATTTGTGCAAGTCAGCAGCCACATCCCACCCTGCCTCTTCTGTGGGTGTGTGTTATCATTCGTGTTGCATGCCTGCAGGCGCTCGGGGAAATTGCTGGCGACTTGGCTGGCAAATGTTTTGGAAATATCTCGAGTGCTATTTATTTTGAAGCGGCAGTCAGCAAGGGACCAGGGGTGGTTTTATGCTCTTGCGGGGAGGGGTAAGCCAAAGAAGAACTGAAAATAAAGTCCAAGTCGGTATCAGATACACTCCTCCGTTCGTACAATCAATCCAGGAGCTTACCTTCACACCTGAGGGGACGCTCTTCTCCCCCTGGCGAGGAGGTGGACCAAGAGCTCCCCCACCAGAGAGACAAAGCCAAGGCCCAGACCCGTGAGCATCATGTAGAAGGGCATGGAGAAGAAGTCCAAGGCCAGTGGCCTGGCACGGTACTCCTCGGATCTGATGAGTCCGAGGTAGCCGATGCGGATCGTCTCCCTGTTGGTGTCGTGGGCCAGCTTCTCCAGGAGTCCACTATTGAAGCAGTTGAGCAGCGTCTCGCCGAGCTTCTGCTTCAGCAGCCACTGGCGGCGCATGGGGAAGCCGGGGAGCGTGTGCATCAGCTCGATGGGCAGGGGTCGCATCCGTGGCTTCTTCATGAACTGCTGCTGGAAGTTGAACAGCACAATGCGGTCGCTGTGGGCCAGATACGCGTAATCTGTGTCGAAGACGGCCCGATGCCGCGTAATAAAGTCGTAGGGCACCACGCGCGTGATGTTCCACAGGATGTCGGGGAAGTCGTAGGTCTGCAGCACGGTCTTGTCGTAGTCCCCGATGATGAAGGTGATGTTCTGCTGGACCAGCTCCTCGAAAGTGCTGATCTGCGGCTCGTACAGACCCGTGGCCAGGATGCTGCCCAAGGCGGCCAGGTAGAAGTTGGAGCAGATGAAGCCGGTGAAGACGAGCGTGAGGTACAGGACGACCCCCACCAGGCCCCTGATCTCGCCCAGCTGGAAGCCCGAGGAGAGCAGACTCTTCAGGGCGTCCAGGACGAACTTCCCGTAGCGAATGGTTCTCCGTTGAAGCCAGTACACGAGGCTCCCGACGCTGGGGAGCAGCACCAAGTAGGCGGCCACAGTCATCCACATGGTGGCGCTGTAGGGGGCCACAGTGTAGATGCCCTTGGACCTGGGCGGCGAGTTTGGTATCAGAATGTTCCCGTACAGATACGTGTAGCTGGCCGTGAAGCTCGAAATATTGCTGTAGGCCAGTAGATCCCCGCATATATCAACCTGCTGGAGATGCAGCAGCTTCAGGCAATCGTTGGCCGAGTAAACCCTATAGTGGGGCGTGAGCACCGGCACAAACGTGGCCCTGCGATGGGCCAGGAACTGACGCAGCAGCATCAACGCATAGCCGTCATATACTCCGTGTTCTGGGTAGACCAGAGTCCGGGGCGGATTGTTGTACAGGGCCACGCGCACCTCCAGGCCCCCCAAGTCGTCGAACCAGTGGCGCCGGGCCCATAGATAGTGGCTCACATTCGTCCTGCCGAGTCGCTGCTGTGGAAAGCCCTCGCTGGTGTACAGGGTACCTTTCTCCATGGCCGTTCCGTTGTACACCAGGACATTGGGATAGCCCTGGCTCCACAATCCCTTCAGCAGGCCCTGCCAATGGGCGGCGCTGTTCTGACCCACCAGGAGATAGTCGGCCTCCTGCATCGCCGTCGGCAATTGGGCGAAGCGTTCCAGGATACGATCGCCTGGCTGGGGGAGAATTACCAGCAGGGGCTTGCTCACCATTTCCCCCGTCAACTGGTTGGCGCTGCCGCTGAGTAGAAGGCTGGGGACAGTGCTTCTGATCGCCTCGTACAGATCGTTGGGTTGCGTGTGCTCCAAGTAGATTATGTTGGTTCTGCACTGCAGTCCCCAATTGAGCTCTGAAATGATGGCTGAGAGCTCTGGCAGTTCCAGGCGACAGTCTGGAACGCTGAGAAGCAGAAAGATCAAGAGGCTACGCCCACACATGACTGCAAGTGCAAGATAGTCCTTCAGAATAAACCATCGACGGCAAAAGACTACTCACCTGCGATGCTTTGCTGCCAGAAGGGGCTAAAAATAAAAGAAAATCAATGTAAAGTTCATTCATCGATTGAGGAGGGCACTTAAGGGGTAGCCTCTGAGTTTATTGGTTTATTTTCAACGATTAAAACAGTAATTACTACTCTGTGCTTTACTTCTAGCCGACAAGAATGTGCTGAAACATGCCACAACAAACACAAGAATACATCAAACAAAGTGAAAGGGAGGAGCATCATCTTGCAGCATCTTCATCATCTGCATTTAGACTTGCGGTCGGGAGCGGCACATGCGCCAGGCCGTCAACTCGATGACAAAACTGATGATGGCCAGGCCAGAGCCGAGGGCTAGGGCGATGGCGGGCATGACGAAATAATCGAGGTCCAGCGGCTTCGCCTCCAAGTGCTCCGTTATGAGGTAATGCAGGTGTCCCACGCTCATCGCCTCGTTGTTGGCATCCTCGGACAGTTTCCGCGTAAGTCCGCTCTCGAAGGCATGGTACCAGGCGGTGCTCAGGTGCTCCTTGAGGAACCACCTCTTGCGCATGGGAATGCCGGTGAACAGGAATGCAAAGTTGACGGGTATCCGACGCAGACGCGGATGCCTCAGAAATAGCTGGGCCGTCTCGTACAGGGCCATCCGGTCCGTGAAGAGCACGTAGGCGTAGTTCTGGTCGAAGCGGTTTCGATGGTAAAGCAACGTCTCAAATGTCACCGTCTGAACGACGGACCACAGCACCTCCGGCATGTTGTACTTTGCGAACAGAATTCGATCGTAGGGGTCCACCAGCAGGGTGGTGTTGCTCGCCACCAGCTGCTCGAAGGTGTTGATCTGTGGCTCGAACACCTCCGAGATGAGCATGCTCTTCAGCAGTCCCAGGTACATGGTGGAGTACACAAAGCCGGTCATGAAGATCACTCCAAAGAGTATGTAGCGCTCGCGTCCCCGAATCGATCGTAGACTGAAGCCGGCGAAGAGCAGCGAACTGAACACCTCCAAGAGATACTTGCTGAAGTCCCACCGTCGGTGCTGCTGCCAGTGGATGCAGCTCAGGAAGCCGACGATCAGGATGACATAGGTCACCAGACAGAGCCAGACACTGATCTGGAACGGAGCCTCCAAATAGCGGTACGAGAGCAGCTTCTTTGCGTGGGCCACCATCACATTGGCATAGGCGATCCTGAAGCCATACGTGAGGCTGAACATCTCCGGATTGGCCGCCAGAGAGTCTGCGCAAAGGTCCACCGTCTCGTTCCTGAGGGACAGGGTACAGTTCCCGGGCGAATCGCTTGGGGTGTGAACCGGAATGAAGGTGGCATTCCTCGAGTCCAGAAAGGCGCGCACGAACCGCATGTAAAAGCCCGCGTAGACCATCCTGCCCCAAGAGTTCACGTACATGAAGCTGCGCGGCACGTTCTTGTAGGCCGCTACTCGGACCGGGTAGCCGTGCAGGTCCCGCATGGAGGCCCTGTGCTGCAGGTACTGCTCCACAGTAGTGGGGTCTATCCGAACTTTGGGAAACAGCGTTTTGCCATAGACGCCGCCATTCGGGGTGGTGTGAAGCAAAAGGCGGACGTAGCCCAGCTCAAAGGCATGTTGCACGTAGGCCAGCCACATTTCCCGATCGATTCGCCTGTCGATGACGATGAGAAAGTCGGCATTCTGGAAGCGGAGATCCAGTGTCCGCAAGAGATCGTATGGCGGCTCAGTGCTGATCACAACAAAGAGCTGGCTACCGTCTCCTATATGACGCTGCAGACGAGAGGAGTTGACGGCCGCCGCCGAGGTGTAGATCATTCTGGTGATCCCCGCTGTGCGAAGGCATTCGGACTCGTAATTGATCAGTTTTTGGTGCTCGTTGCAGTACAAAATGTTTGTGGAGATCCGCAGATGATCGTTCAGCTTGCCTATGATATGGGACAGACCTACACTGGCGATCACATCCCCCTGAGTGATCAGGAATAGCAGTAGAGTCGGGCATGATCGGTGGGGTATCATCTGTAAGACATAGAAATGGGATAGCTGTTGATGAGGGGAGTTTAAGGATAGTGATGGGGGGTGGCAGTGACAAAGCAAGGATACTGTGGGAAGGGGGCAATTAGAATATCTATGATAATCGAGGAATCTGAAGCCAGTCTTGATAGTTTCCGCTTTTACACTCACACGCAGTTTCAGATTCAATTAGATACCAGATACCAGACTTTGTCTAATCGGCTCAAGCCCCAGTCCAAGCCCCAGCCCAAGCTCATAAATATTCCATTCCACCTGATTGAGTCTGGGGCAATTAACACTCGCCGCCACCCACTCACAGATCCCCATGGGTAAACGGGGTGTGGGGGTGGTATTTAGCTTAATCATTCTCACGCATATGCAAATGTAAATTGCCGGTTCCCTTTCCCTTCGACTCTCCACTGGATTCCCAGCCCAAAGTGCGGTAGACAGTGTCAATATTTTCGCGCAGAGACAATGGAAAAGTCACGGGTAGCTGCACCTATGTCTTGGGCACAAGTAGCGCCATTTTGGAGCTCACAACCATAAATAGACACCATCCAATCAGAGGCAGAGCCTGACCCATTCCCATTCCCATCGCCCTCTCTCCTGTCTCTTGCTGATTTGTGGCGCCTGATTAACGGTTGTCAGGCTCTGCAATGGCTAACTACTGTATCTGCCGCAACCGCATGACTGGCCCCGGTTATGGGTCTTGAGTAGGGTTAGCAAATTACGCGCTGATATGCGTGCCGAAGGCCCAGGCGAGGACGAGTCGGGCCTGTGGGAAGCTTTGGAATCGGTTCTTTAGTAGGTCAGTGCCCGGGAGGTCTTTAGAGCAGTGGTAATTAGTGGAGTGGATAATTGTATATTAAATGATATACTTATATATAACGGAGGATCGCTCAAGCGAAGGGTGATCCGTCTTTCCGGGTTCTTTCTGTATCTCTGGGACCCGCTAATCCGCTCCGAAAACCCCTCTGATGAGTCAGACGCACAGTAGTCCCCCCAGCAAATAATTAATAAGATAAGAGAACTCAACCCCGGGGCTGAAGGTCAAACTAATAATGATTTAGATAATAAAAGAGTGGATCTGGAGCTGGAGCTGAAGCTGGAGCCTCGAATGTAGTTGGTGTTTGGGTAAGAAGCACTTGAACCTGCTGCCAAGGCCCCAAGGCGGCTCTTGGCTGCTGAAAACCAAACAAAGCAGCCAGGGAGCGCCCTCCTGGAGACTCGTAGTCCACTCCACTCCACACCACTCCACTCTACTCTGCGTCGCGGTCTGGTCGGTCAGACCATCTACTACTACCAGACCATAAATACCAAAGGGTTACGCCTATTTTTACACGCAACCGAGTGCATTTCCCCGTAGCCGGGCCATGAGCGCAGAAATATTAAAACGATGCGACGTGACAGATTACAAAACGTTTGACACCAGCGCCAAAGCCGCCAAGATGCCCCCAAAAGAAGAAGCTGGAGCCGCGACTGCAGCACAAGCTGCAACAGCTTGCAACAGCAGTCAAGCAGCCACTTGCCACACGACGATGACGACGGTGAGCACGGTGGTTCGAAAGCCCCTGAAACGGGCTCGCTGTGCGCGTTGGAGGGCAGGCTTTTGGGGTCCAGAGATCCAGACACTGTGCCGCGGTGCAGTCACGAGTTGGGCTACCTCCAAATTGCCTCCAGGCGGAGGATCGGGAACTGGCCTCGAGATTTCGATGGAGATTGGAGGAGCTCTGTGTGTGGAGCGCGCGCGTCACAAATTAATTCGCTGATGCTGGTTCTGTTCGGTTCTGTTCGGTACGATTCCCACAGTAGTCCCTTTATTTGTGGAGTGGCTCTCGAGGATGCCCCTGCTTGTCTAGTTCACCTGCAACCGAACAGCGGTTTATGCGGAGGCTGCAACACTGTATCTGTATCTGTGTCTGTGCCTGTGCGTCTGGCACTCGTGAGTTATGTCAGTCAGTCCAGGCCAGACCTGAGGTCCGGTCCGGTCCGGTGCGGTCCTCTCTTCCACTTGAGCGTGCAATTTCTCTAATTCACATCCCAGGCATCTGGACTCCAGAGAACCCAGCAGGCGTAATTGACTTGGAAGTTATGAACCTTTAAATGCGGGCCACTGCATGCGATCCATGCGATCCATGGCTCCATGGCTCCATGGTCATGTAATTTTAATTTTCTCACTTGATTGCCCCGAACAGCTCTGGCCATGGGCTGATGCTGTCCATCCTTGATTAGTTTGCCGGGCGGGGGAGGATTCATGGGTGCCGAAAGATCATCATTATCGGGTATCGCTCCCCCCCCTTCCCCACGCAAGTGTTTATTTACATCCTGTTCCGAGAATTTCACACAAATATTGTACTATTCTTCTTTTTTTGTTGTCCGCTAATTAGTTGAGATGCAAATAATCGCCAAATGAAATTCCCATGGCAGTCATCAGACTTTACTAATTACTTGAGGAATGCAATCGGTGAAGCCTCCCCCCACCCCCCACCCCTCGCTCTTCATTGAAATGGAGCCGATTTGAGCTCCAAAATGGCAAAAATAAATACTAATATTTTTGGTTTTTTTTCTTTTTTTTTGGGGAGATGGAGGAGCGCGAAATTTGTCAGCTGCGGGATCTTTTTTTGGTTTTTTTGAGTACTCAAATGGAGGGGTGGGGAGGGGCCGGGTAGATTGGATCTGGCACTTCGCACAGAGCCGCAAATTGTTTCGGCAAAGCCTTAAATATTTCATTCACCGGCACTGGGACTTTTCTTGGCCAAGAGCAGCAGCTGCCTCGGAAGACCTCTGGCCCAGAGACTCAACGGGGTCTTGGGCCTGTTGGCCCAATGAATTATGAGCCCGCTTCTTATAAGCATGCAAACAGCATCGCCACCGTTTGTGGGTGTCATGCGTCCGCCTAATGAAAATGTTTGGCTATGGCTTTGGCTTAGGGTCTGTAGTGTTATTTTTGTATATTTTCCACCTTCTCACCTGGTGGGAACCGCCAAATTTATTGCGCATCAAATTACAAGCCATCATCTGCGGCACGGTCTGGTGGCAGCTCTCCCCTAATGGCCATGTAATGAAGCGACTAGTAAGCTAATGGATCCCAAAAAAATATACATATTGAGACACAGATATCTGGCATTCGTTTGGTGGTAGGAGGGTCTGTTTCGGAGCCACATTTATGTATATATAATTTATTCATACATTTTATAAGCAGGGAGAAAACAGAGGAGAAATGCCTAAAGCTGGCCCCCGACGGGCAGAGGAAACCCCAGCTCCTCCGACAACGTTTTTCCGCAGTCTGGAGCCTTTTGTTTGCTGTGGAATACCGCTCGTCAATTAGCAAGGCATTTAGAAACACATTAACCTTTTCGCCTTGGCCTTAACCTTTTGCCAAAAGAGCGTTAATTCGTTGCGAAAATACTGAAGCTCGTTTTGATGGGGCTGATTCACAGAAGTCGTAAATTGTCATAAATATCGAGCCACAGATTGCACACCGAACGGCGCCAGACGCTCCAAAAAAACGAAGAACATCTTGGCCAAGTTTGGAGCGCGTATCTCTCTTGGACATTCTCCAATATTTGTCTTACTAATTTCCTGGCCATTATTTTTGGCCAGCCCAACAAAAACCCCAAACATTTATTTACTCATTATTGCCAGATTCAGATTTGGCCATTGATGGCTATTTTCGCCTCGCTTTGTTTGAGTGCCAAACCGCATACTTTTCGATATTGACACGCATAAATTTGGTATATCTCGTATCTCGAATGTCCAATGTTTTCACTTGGAGATCCGACAATTGTTAATTTCTTGGCCAAACACGGCGCGATCTACACGTGTTCGTGTTGTTCCCTGAATAATGATTAGCATCCCTTGGTATGGATGGTCCCCATCTGCCCATAGGGGTGGCTTAGCGGATCAGTCGTGAAACCCTCTGGAAGGAGTCAGCCACGCGTAATGCGAACAGCAGTATCTCCGATCACTTTCACTCCATGCTATCAATGGGCACCCAATGAGGCACAACGCATAAATTAATGGAGAGGGCACTCTTCATTGAAAAAGGAGGGTTGTCTAGTACATTTTCATTAACAAACTCTTGTTAGCACTCCCAATTTCGGTGGCCACTGTGCTGTCCGACAGTTGGCCTGACCTGACCCATAGGGGTCTGCCAAAAAAGGGTTTCCAGCGTGTTGTTTGTTTAATTGAACACAGACCGAGACAATAAAGATGCGTGCGATATGGAAAGCGGTAAATTTTGGGGACGTTGCTGCCCTCGGGGTATCCATCGATGAAGTGCCGGCCTGCCATTGTCCCCGGCTTCCATCAGCAACACCATCGGCGTCTCCATTGAGGCTCTCATCGCCATCCAGACAATCGCTTGCAGTTCCTTGGAACGCAGGGCTGGCTCTGGCTTTGATACCCTTTAAAAGGCACTGAGAGCGGATCGAAGATTGATCTAGGGACGCGAAAGGAGTCTCTTGCCAGTCCAAAATTCCCTTCCGTTGGGTATCCCTTGGTCGTGGCTGTGAAATCTTTGCATACCTCGCATTTGCTTCCTTTGTGTTTTATTTCTTGTGATCGTTTTTTTTTTTTTTTTACCAACGCCCACCGTTGCCGTTGCCGTTGGCTTACCTTTCGGCCAGTTGTTGTTGTTGTTTTTGCTGTTTCTGTTGGTTTTCGCGTTTATCAGTTGAGATCAGGCTGGTGGCTGGTGGCTGTTGCCTCTTGGGTTTTTATCCTGTCTGGGGCTGCGGTTTTGGTAGTTACGTTTCGTTGCTCTTTTTGGGGCAGTGAATTTTAATTAAAATATTTCTCAGGGTTTTTATTTTCCCTGCACTCGATGCGCTGGGGTCAGGGGGCGACAACCGGAGGGGTACAGCCAGACGCAGAGACACTCTTTCGCTGGGTGTCGTGAGTGTGACACATTCGCATCAGATATGACGAGACTTCTGAGGAGAAGGACACCCACAGACTCATAAATCAGCGCTGGCCCAGCGTTTTGCTGGAAAAAGGCAACAAAAATTAACTTGTCAATGTGCCACACACACAGGACCCTGGACGTAGGACACCTGACGCGGCCCTCCAGGCCAGTAAATACTAGAATTTGTATTCTTTTTGGCTTTGTTTGGCCCGTGAAAATTTCACACATATTTCCCTTTGCCATTTTGTGCATTTTCCACATGGCACGGCGCCAGCCCGGACACGTCCTGCTGCGCCGGCCCAGCACAATAAGAATCCCTTGCAGGACTACTCGGAATTCCTGGCTCGGATCATCGATTGGGCCAAAAGTGTGCGGTTTGGCTGGTACTAACCTTCGGTGGAGGGCCACGCAGGGAGCTGGAAAGAGAACAACGTATGAGATATCAGCTGCTATCAATTATCGGGCGCACACTTGAGATTGTCTAGAGGAATGTGGCGCAATTGCTTTGGCGAAAGTGCATCAATCTCATTCGCCTGATTAATTTATCACTGTCCTTATCAGTTGCTAATTTTCTTCTGGCCCCCCCATAAATCTTCATTAACCCTGCCGCCAAAAGTCATATTTGAGCTTCCCTTTCAATAAAGACGTGGACTGTGGGCCAACATTTTGGGGAAATGGCGAAAATGTTATTTTAAAACAATGGAAATAATATTTCAAGGGAGACATGCAGTTACTCTTTGAAGCCGAACCCACTGGCCTCCACTGCTTGCACTGCTTGGACTCTGCTAACACTTGCAACATGTTTGAACAGACCACAGACCTAACAGAGAGGTTGCCACTGTTAGGCGATAGGTTCGAGCTTCGAACTCAATTTGAAATCAATCTTTTACTGCTTGCTGCGAGTCGGACCAGATTTTATCAACGTAATGTTGGGATACCAACGTGCTATCAATTTCATCATGTTTATGGACCTGTAAAGTAAAGCCCTGCGCTATAAAACCATTACCAGCGAATTTCTGCCAAGCAATGTCACCATTAGTGGAATTCTTTGGCAGTTTTTCGCGGTCTGATGCGATGCGTCACAGATTTGCGTAAACAAAATACCTGGCTGATGAATTTTTGGTGTTCTTTCGTTTTTATTGCGATAAGAGAGGGCAACGCTACTGGATTCCATTCATGGCCGGAGATTCTTCTAGTTTTGTGCGCCCCTTGTGTGCCTTTAATTGAACCTATCACAAAACTTGTGCAGTTATCTAGGTATCGAGTTAATTGAAAATTGGTACACGACCAAAGTCCACAAACACTCGTACGGTTCCGTCGTTTTCGGGGAACTACGCCTGCTTTGTGCCCGCCGACAGGTCGCGCTTCACAGATCTTCGCGAAACGGTGCTCCAGGATTCTCCAGTTAGTGGGCCCTGATAAGCCACCCAAATATTGCTTAATGTAATCTCAATGAGTGGCTAGTTAGGCGCATAACTTCTTGTGTGATTCTTGTTTTTTGGGTCGTTGGCAACTAACATATGTATGTACATACATTTGATTTACGGCATGATCAATAAAAGTGCCTGATACAACGGGTCGGGCTAATCGATCAATATCAAAATGCAGCGGCAACTTTGCTAATGGCCTGGCGAACTGGACCTTGCCCAATACAGTCGTCTGGCATTCCCGGTGCATACCCATGCGAATGGGGTCTTGTGGGTGAGTGAGCGACTGGGTGGGTGGGTGACTTGTTTTCGAAAGTGGGGCAGGTGCTGGCGCATAGATCATTATCTAGCGGGGTGACCCACATTCCCGGGGGAATTCCAGACACCAGTCCGTCCCTCGCATGTCCCGACCCATCCCAAGGAAACATTTCCTTCGGTAGAAGGGAACACACATCCCAAAGAAATCCATCTATCTATCACCCAAATATTTTTAGTGGGAGTCTGTTCATTAAACATTAAAAAGCCCTCAATACAGAAAAATGAATATCATGGGACTATTTTTCTAAATTTTTCATTAACTTAATTAAATAATTAATAAAATTAAATTCTTTTGAATTATCCTCTAGTAAATTAATCAAAAATGTTGCATTGAATGTTGCTTGTGGCTGCTCAGGCCTCGCAACATGTGTTCTATCAGCATGTTGACAACGTGTCGAACAGATATATCGTATGCATTTATATTAATATCGATAGGCCCGCGGTTTTTTTTAAACCACTCAACCAACGGCGGCAATTAGGGAATAAATATAGAGGTTTTCCTTGGAAAAATAATGTCAATAATGCCAAAATAATAAACAATAAAGTATATAGAACAAAAAGCTGTGTATCTTTATGGTTCTGCCTTTATGGGACGTCGACGAACAGACTCGAGCCGCAGCACGTTGCGATAAGTTGCATCGAGCCGGCAACATGCTTTCTGGCCACATGTGGCTGGGCAACAATATCCAGCACCAGCGGTTTTTGAAGACGGGCATATTTCAAACAACAGCGGGCGGGCGCGGAAACAAAACCGGAGAAAAGAAAAAAGAGTGTCGGATTTTTTTCGAAATTCAGAAACGAAAAATAAGTCCGCTGATAAACCCCACAAGTACATGTTGATAAAAAAAAGGAGAATAATCAAACGAATATATTAAATAATAAAAAAATATTTCAATATATCCACTAAATAAAACTGTTGTGTTCGAAGCCCGATCAAACAAATCAGTTAACGTTACAATCAAATGATTAATTAGCCAGAGGTGAAACAGTGCATTCTATGTGAAACGATAAGCTGATTGGATTTACGAAAATTAAACAAATTGTAAAACTATTGAAGTGCCAGTGCCAAGGAAACCCAAAAAGAAATTCGAATAAAATACAAAAGTTGTCACTGTCGCTGTCGCAAGTGCAATATAAAAAATATATATATGTACATATTGTTAATCGGAATAATAATTGTACATAACATAAAGTGCAGCGGTAAAAAAATTCCAAGAAATAAAATAACATAAAATAAGGTGTATTGAGAATTGCCGCTCGGATTCGATTGCATTTTTGTGCGGTGTGGAAATTTTTGTTGACGCCGCGCTTCGGCCCCGAGGAATCATATGAAGCTTGATTTCCGCTCGGAGTCTTGTTCGCCGACCACAGCAGAAAGCCCCAGACCCAGCCCCAGACCCAGACCCAGCCCCAGCCCCATGTACGACTGCCGAAGATATTACGCACAAACCCATGTTGGATTATAATTTATACCCTTAAATTTGGGGGCTACAATGCGGCCAGAAATATACAATGTAAGTACAATTTCAATAACGCAGCGGAGTGATTCAATTTCCCCAGAATGATCGCAATTCGCAATCGTAAAAATGTGAAATTCCTTAGATATAGAAAAGTTGATTCTTGGGCCAGGCCAGACAGTTGTGAAATTTTCTTAGAAGGTATTTTTTAATGGAATGGAATTATAAAATAATAAATGAGACGTGTATCGTTCCACCTTTTAGTGAGAATTCATTCAGAGCTTAAGCGATTTGTATCTTTTGTGGTGCAACCACGTGCAAAAGGAGGCAAAGAGAAAACCACGCCGTACGTCGTATCCCCCAAAAAGCAAACCCAATCAAAGGAATAATCCGCAAATACCATGACCTGTGTTTCGCACACATATACGCCATCTGTGTGCGTGTGTGTGTGTGTGTGCAGCCCTCCTTTATAAGGGCCAAGCGCTATTTCACTTAAAAAACAATTCAAAAGCACAATTATATGTTTGAAACATGAAATATGAAATCGCATACGGTTTCGGTTTCGGTTTCTGTTTCTGTATCTGGTTCAGGTCCATAATTGCCATTTATAACTTGTTATGGCACCAACACATGCAAACTGTCAGGATAAATCAGTCGCTCCATGTGTGTGTGTGTGTACTGCTCTCAGTGCGCGCCTGTGTGTGTGTACAACCCCTTTTTTCGAAAAATAAAAAAACTTTCGAGGGTCGTCGGGGACTTGTGGCGTGTTCAGATCTCAGGACATTTACCTGAGTTCTAAATCAACTGCCAGCGCGGCCAACCCTCGGCTGAAAACGCGTGGAGCAGTCGCCCAAAAGAGTTTCCAATCCAGGGAAAAAGTAAACCAAGTTAAACCTTTAATGCCCCCCCCACACCGACTAATTCGAACTAATTGTCTCTAATCTCACACCCCATCCGAGGCACCTCTGGCAGGGCAGCCATAAAACAAGTTCAAAATTTCCCAAGTCAAACATGGCCACGCCCCAAATGGCAACGCATTCGAGGGGCGATAAGAGCCAAAGAGACAATATTTGATTTGATAGTTCGAATTTGTTCTTTTCTTTTATTAATTAAACGGAAATAGGGGGCAGATAACACTCGAGAATAGAACCCACCTGGGGGAGAGGGAGAGTGATAAGCCCCAATGCCGCCAGCCCGTTATGGAGCAGCACCTCTGGAGCCTAGGGTGGTGGAGCGTGCCCAGCCTCTGGCCCTGTCTCGGCCGCGCTAGACTCGCAACAATCTCCGTTATACACATTAATCTATCACACTCTCCTCAAGAGTTTTATTGAAATTTATTGTACGATTCGCCAAATCACATGTTCTAATGGCAAAAACATCATAAACCCGGCTGTGCCGCCTGTATTTATGACTCGGCACATATTTGTGCAGCTTTGATTAATGCAATCACTTGACATCGAGCCCAGAAACAGAAACTGAAACCGAATCGGGCCCAATCAACCATTTGTAACTGTTCAGCCTGCCAGCATTCCAAGGGAAAGATCTGCCACTGGCTAAACGTGTCCCCCCGCAAGTTTGTTGAAAAGTTTGCTGGCGTCTAAAAGTTTTTGTTTTTTATAATTAGGTTTACGCGCGGTTGGCAAAAAGCTGTATGCCTGCTCTGCTCTGGTTTCAGAACAAAAATTGAGTAATGCAATGCCAGGAACATAGGCGTATGACGCCACAGGCTGTGGCTCCAAGTCACGTTCCATAGGGGAGGGGGAGGGCCCCCTTTACCGAGCATATAGTACATACATATATCGTTGGCGATTAGTCATGGCAGCAGCTGGGCTCAACGACTGGGAAATCGAGCGTTTCTCGCATTCCTCTGAGGTGGCATCCACAGGGCTTCGATTATCGGCTTGGCTAGGATCTCGGACCATTTCGGACCATCTCGGACTGTCGCCAAGCCGTACAAACGCCCAAGCGCCGGGCACCCACTATCTTATCAACGAACACGTTCAAAATATACGCCTCGGCGTACTACGCGTAGTAGTAGCCCCACACACACACACACACACACGCACACACACACACACCAGTATAATAATAATAATAATAACAATGCGACGACCGTCAAGTGTTTATTGTTTATTTTGCTTTTCCTTTTTTTTCTTTTTTTTCTTTTTTTGCTGCCAGAACACGCGAAAGGCTTTGGTTTTACTATAACTAAAGTTTTCCACGCTGATAACTTGGCTTTCTTTTGGCATATTTTCATGGGGGGAGAGAAGCGATGGGTGCCCGTAGATCTACCAGCTGGTACTCGGTTGTAAAATTGTTCGATTTATGCAAATATTTGCATTATGAATTACAACCAGTCGCAGTCCCCGTCCCCGTCGCAGTCCCCGTTGCAGTCTCTTCTCCAAACACCTGCTTAGGGCCAAAGACGTTTGACGTTGCACCTGACCTACAATGTGCCGTGTTGTTGTTGTTTTACGGTTGTGTAAAACAACAAACACACCCACTTTGCACAGTCAACGGCGGAGGCCTAGGCCCTGACCGGGGGGACGGCATCATCGATAACAGATTTTGATGAATTTCTCGCCCCGGAATTAGAAAGTTTTTGTAGAAATCCGTCCTCTGGGGGTATGGGGGCTAAGCGTTTGGTTTATGGATGAGTTATTGAGCGCCTTATCAGAGCTTATCAAATGTAAAGGCGCCTTTTATGGCTGCATTTCTGTTCGATAACAAAACGGACAATAAATCGATATATCGATAGTGCATCTCAGGTGCATAATTATTGTTGTTTGCCTCGAGAAAAGGTGTCATATTTGAGCAACTCGCACAGTCCCTAGACATTCAATCAATGCACTTGCCCGCATGTTTGCCTTGGGGCCCGCCTCGGGGCCCGTCTGGGCCTGCCTGCTCACTGTTGACACTTTGGGAAAGTTGCTGAATGTCTGCCTAGCACAACAAAGTCTCCGGCCGCTGCCACTTAAGTAGCCCGTCGTCGGACGGGCTGGCTACTTATCAGAAAGGGCTCTGAAAGCGGCTTATCACCCAATAGACCAGCAGCAGCAGCAGCAGCAGCAGCAGCTGTCGCTGTCGCTGCGACGAAAATCGCATTAGATCCCACCCCTCGAACAGGGCCGGGCCCATTCCGCTTCACGCCTTTTTCAGGAATTATGCAGCAGCATCAGAGTGAGGGCTGCTAATGAGTCGAGATTTGTGTTGCGGCACGTCGCACCTTCGCAGCCCCACAGCTCCACAGCAGCCTCCAACGCTCAGCCTTGACACTGTGCTCCGTGCACATCAACTCATTTGGCGTGACTTGTGCTCCGGTTCTTCCATATATTGTACGTATATCTAGCGACAGGCAACAACATTAGCTTATCGCTGGGGTACGTTGAACTCTCACGGGCTCCCGATTCCCCGTCGGATCTTTGTTGTGTCTATATTGTGTTTATATTTGGGGCGTTGCTGCAAGTTCAAGTGCTTTACGGGGGGGGGCGGAGGGTTGAGAGACAAGTTCTCGAATGGATGGACCTCTGAGTGGGTGCCAAAAGTAGGCAAGGTATTGCTCGATGTACTCTAGATTGGCAGTCGCATTCTTGCATTACCCACACCCAAGATCGTGCGAATCCGGCCTCCCACTGCCGCTGCAAGCATTATATAAATATTTTCATATAAAGCACACCGCCTGTGCGCAACTGGCAACTGTCAAAGTCACTAAAGAACGTGTAACCACCCTCCGCTGTCCGCTGTCCTCTGTCCGCTGTTCATTAAGTCGCAGCAAATGCAATTGCAGCCGGTCGGTCGAGGACGAGGAGGAGTCGCAGGAGCATCAGAGGGGATGAGGCTTAGGGTTGTTGCTGGCTCGGCGAAAAGCGCAAGGTGGATGATGCCAGGGTATTGAGTGACATCCAGTTGCAACCCCTAAAACAAAAGGAAAGACTGCATCGCACTCACACGCACAATTGGCAGCACGGAATTTCACACTTGGTATCCCCGCGGAGGAGGGGTGTCGAGGCGATTACATGATTGATTGAGGTGCCCGCGAGAACACGTGGCCGCAATCAGAGAGCATAAGTGGCCGCAGGAATCCAAGCCATGTTGTCGGACATCGTCTATCACTTTCTTTGGGGTTTATCTGTGGGATCTTTTTCGCCAACTCACTGTCCACTGGCTGTCCAAATACTTGGGCTTAATCTAATCGCCGCCGCATTCCTCAGATGGCAGTCCCGCGAATATATATATAAATTCACATTTAAAGCGGTTACTATTTTGTGGATGTTGAATCAACAAGTGTTAAAGTCCAGCGACAACACGTGCCCGTTCTCTGAGGCGAAACCCAAACAAGTTTGCTCGGTGCTGGGTAATGGATACTGGGTACTGGGTACTGGGTACTGGGCACTGGATAGATCTAAAGACATCGGAGGTACATAACTGAGTTTTCGCTGCTGACAAGTTGGCTTCACTTAGCACATTTATCGGTCGTTGGGATCGGGTCGAAACACTTGGAGTTTAATTTTAATTTTAATTTCCATTCAGCAGAGTTGATTTATTTATTTCCAAATCAAAATACCCATACAATCGAATGGACAAACTAATTAAGGCCTGAAAAAATGTCCAATTGATTAGATTGCACTTTTTAAAAGTGGTTCGGTGACGTAGACGTCGCCACAAGAGGCACCAGTCCATACACACGCACAGCTCTGGCACTAGTATTGGTGAGCTTTTGAAAGCTGCGCCTCAAGGCGCCCATAGCCCGACCTTTGGCTGTCGGTGAGCCGTGTCTGTGTGAAAGCTCGCCTTTGGGAGGTCCCCAGCCATGGCACGTAGCCAAAGGAAAACCTAAGAAAACTATTCAGTATTCAGGGCACATTCCAGACAAGAGCTGGAGGGTCCCTTTTTGGGCTCCCGTATCTGCCGGGGATGTGCCCTGTCTGCATACCAAATAAGGTAATTATGAGTCGCATTGTAAGGCGTAACACACAGACAGACAAAAGTAAAGCACAGACAGAGGAGCGATATCGGATTACATACATGGGAATCGCATAGAGCTACAGCCACAGCCACAGCGGGTCACATGGATGGGCTTTTGTGCTGTTTTCGGTTTCGGCTTTCCGGCTCCCTTGCGGTTGCCTAGCCAGAGCTTTCCCCCTACCCGGCCCCTCACCATTGAGATCAGTCAGCAGAATGGCCAACAACTCCTCCACACTTTTCATATTTCGGGGAGCCCAAAAGCTGATTTAATTGCTTGCCAAAGCGAAAGCCAAGTCTCCCGGGGGCCACATACTCTCGTATTCATGTGTGTGTGTGTGTGTGTGCACATTTCAAATGGACCGTATTGTCTGCCGTGAAATTGAAAAATGATAAAAATCGCACGCCACACGGCCCGAGGCATTTGGATTTTTCGGGGACGGCCCACTGAGAGGGCAAATGGCCAGGGACTTGCAATGGGACTTGAATGCGCCTCCTCCTCCCCGGGGCTGGCTTTGCCCTCGTCCCTCGTCCCTCGACCCTCGCCCTCTCTGTATTGATTTCTTGAGCTTGATTCTTTTATATTTTCACTTTTCAGGCCGGGGCAAAAAAGACCTTCGTCTCAAGAAACTACCCTTTTCGGTCTTGAGTTCTGTGTTCTCTGTTCTGGGTTCTCCGTTCGGTTTTCGTTTTGTTTTGTTCTTGGCTTTGTAGTTCAGTGCTAAGCTGAAATCAATGACCTTTTCGGCAGCGCCTGGACATGGACCTGGCGGGGATTAGTGGCTCGTGAAACAGTATATGCAGAATACTTGTGCCAAGACTTTCCCGGCCACAAAACGTTGTTCAGTTGAATCGATAAAAGAAAAACAACAAAAGCCCGGCCACTTGTGCTCACTTGTGGGGTGACATTGAGCCAGAGCCAGAGCCAGAGCCACTGGAAGGGCTCTCCATAGAGTCCCATAGATGGTTGCTTTTAAAGAGCTCACGATCATCTCATGATGAAATGACTTAATTGTTGTTCAAGCCCCAGCAGACCCGAGACGGAAGTCCGTAGCACAAAAAAACGTTGAAAACAAATCAATAAAATCAATAATAATCATTAATAATAAGCTGTAGGATTTATGCAAATTTTGCTGTATTTTTGAATCATACTTAGTTCTCGAAATTCCTTATTTATAGCGGGTATCGTAAGCCCTACTACAGCCGTTCCGTTCTTCTACTTTCAGGTTACTACAGTTCACGCTGCCCAATGTCAGGACTATTTTTATACTGATGGTGAGTAGCCCTTGATTGATTTACTATATAGTCTGCCCATCGCCAATCGCCAATTGCCGCTTATGTAAAATAATATTTTTTTTATTTTTTTTTGCATTTTTACGACTGCGGGTAATTGTAAAGCTTAGCGGATTTATGGCGTATAATTTGTTGTATATATAATCGTGGGCAACTAATTTATGTGGGGGGAAACCGCAATGGTGTCGACCCTTTAACCCAGTTTCGGCCATCTGGGATTCTTCAAACCCCATCGACACTCTGAATAATTATCAGAAAATGTCAAAATATTATTATGTGCTTTTGGCCCATAACAAGATCGAAAGATTGAGAGTGTGTGTAATCGAAAATGGGTGTGTGGAGTGGGGGAAACCCATTCAGAGTTTGATACGAGAGCGTTTGTGTGTACTTTGGAGTGGCTCTGTGGCTCTGAGGCTCTGGGGCTCTCGGCTGTGGGGGTCTCCACTTGAGCCTAACCATAAAAATAATAATAATTATTATTATGATTATCACAGACACTCACACACGCACCAAAGCGTCATTGAACTGTGGAAAAGGTCGCCCGTCAAACGATACAGTATTTTCGGCTTTTGAGTAGTGCAAACACTGCCCCCCACCATCCGATCTCCGATCTCCGATCTCCCATCTGCCGCTCTGCCGCTCTGACAAGCGATTGAGGAATGTTCCATCTGGCATTCCACACGGACCCACGACGGGCACGCGCCTCCCCGGCACTTGGGCCATAAGTTCGGAGCTCCTTAGGAGCTCCTAAAGCCCCCCCACTAAGCCCTGGGGGTATTTATAGCAATTTACCCGAAAATAACTAACCAACGACCGGGACGTTGGTGCCGTGCGCTCTCCGTAGACCCGATAAACAGTCGATTCCGCCATCCATTCCGATATGTCATTTGTCTGGCTGGCGGCTTGTTTTGCTGATTTGCATATATGCCATATCTACGCGTGATATCATTAATGGTCTTGGTGAAATTCAGTTGGTCAAAGGTGGAAAACGTGTCAGCCAAGAGAGACATGAGCCAGACCCGTGCCAGCCAGTGGGTGGGGCCAGCCAATCGGAAAAGAGGGCGGGGCCACCCACTGGGATGGCTCTAACTTCAAGGCCGTGCAGGCCGCTTAACGACCCAACTTGGACCATTAAAGGCCTTGGGCCGGCCGTGCCACATGTGTCCGAGTCGGGCGAGGCTCCATAATAAAAAGCTCCTCGTATTAATGGAAATTTATGGGCCAAAAGGGTTTCGTTATGCCGGGCTGCTGGACTGCTGGGCTGGGATTAGTCGCCAGATGCGAATCAGCTATTAATCGCCATACTTTCTCTCTCTTTCTCTCTCCCTCTTCCGTGCAGGTAATGCTTGCTCTTGGGATCAAAACAGGCGCAAAGAAAACGGACGAATATGTTTTAACGTTGAAGAAACACAACGATCGTGCGCTGCACATCAACGCGCACGGCAAAGTGACCGCCGAGGACATATCGCTGGCACGTAAGTATCCCCTCCTCGCCCACCGCCCCCCACCAAGACAATCCCGAGTTCGTTCATCAATTACCATTGGCATTTAAATTAAATTGGCATTTATACTAGAGTGTGCGAGAGAGTACATCCCATCGTATATATTTTGAACTCTGTCTGCCCCCCTCTCTCTCCCTCTCCCCCGTGTCTGTGCATATGGCGTGCTTAATTAAATTATTGGTAATTTAATATTTGATTGATGTTATGAACCGCCACGAAGCCGCCCCAAGCGCCGTCCAGTGCGTCTTTTAATTTATTTCGGAATTTGTTTGCTTTTTCTGCGGTTTGCCAAGCCGTCTCTCGTCTGTGAAGTTCAGGAGCAGCCGCCTCATAGTAGGTTGATGGGTGACCGAAAGCGACAAGACGGCATGCCAGGCCGCAGACCGCAGGGGCAAAGGTCCGGGGCTGGGACTGGGACTAGGGCCTTGAAGCATCTCTTCGGGCCTCAGCAATGCCCTCTCTCTCGGTGAGGAAACAGAAAACTGTCACTTGGGTATTTTATCTTATCAGTGGAGCTAGTGCCTGGGCTTTAGGCAAGTTGATCGATTTGCTGTGGCTCTACCCCCCCCCCCCCCCCCCCCCCCACCCCCCCCCCCCCCCCCCCCCCCCCCCCCCCCCAGATCCTAAGAATTTAGAGATTTTTCAGGGTTAAGCCCCCCACCCCGGCCACTGAGAGGGAGTTCAACGACTGAACGGCAGTTGATTAATAGATTTCATTAAATGTCCCAACAACCGGCGTCCCACATGGCGCACTTATCAACCGCCCAACGCCTTTTATAACTTTATCGGAGAACCTTTCAATTAATTGGGTTATCTGCAGGCGGCTCAAGTGCTCCGCCGTTGACTATTTACACAATAGAAAACTTTTGTTTGCCAATAATTAATTAAATTTGATTTTTCAATTTCCACAGAATCCTTCACGATGGACAGTGTGGGCGATGCACTGAGCGTGGACTTCAAAATCACCATCTATGCCAAGGATGTGGACTACTATCTGTGCTTTCATCAAGGCAGACTTGTTGGAAAGGTGAGTCTCCACCAGATATAGCCTAGAGAACGTCCCGTCCCCCCCGTGTCTCTGGCAAACCCGACTAACCGCAGCTCTGGCCTTGCTTTCTCTCCCTATCTCGACCCTCTCCGAACAGAGAAACGCCACAAACGACTGCCACTTCAGGGAGTCACTGGATCACGGCTACTATCAGTTCACGCACGCCTACAATCCGGTGCTGCATGTGGGGATCAAGCGCAACTTTAGGCCCATCGGTCCGCGGGACCTGGAGCGCCCGAATCGGATGCGCAATGCCTGTTTCCTGTTCTTCCGCTCGGAGGCGGAGCATTTCCGCAGCAACATGGCGCTGTTGGGTCCCAGGAAACACAAGTTTTCCAGCAAAACCACTAAAACGACGACCACGTCGACTACAACAACAACCACGCCCAGTACTACAACCAGCAGCACTACAGCCAGACCCACAACAGCCCCCACAACCACCCCCACCACCACCACCACCACCACCACCACCAGCACAACCCCCCACACAACCACAACCACAATGTTGAGCCCAGTGCCAGTGTCGGGCACGAAACGCGTGCGTGGAAGGCCGCGTCGCCCTGCAGCATCTTCGGCAGCAACCAGTATTACTAGCGATAGTTCTTCTATAGCCCACAACAGCAACAGCAACCACAACAGCAATAGCCTTAAGTCCTACAACCAAGCCAATAGCAACAACAACAACAACAACAAGAAGAAGAAAGACAACCACTTGGATGACATGTTGCAGGAGCAAAAAATCATCAAGCGAAACTGGGAACGTCGCCAGCACCGCCAGCAGCAGCAGCAGCAGCACCGCCTACGGCAGCGGCAGCACCACAGCGGCGGCGCCACAGTGGGGGCCATGCAACAGCCGCAGCCGAAGAACCTGGAGGTGCGCCACCATCACAACAACGCCACCCTCATGGAGCGGCGACGACGCCGCCGGCTGGAGCGGCGCCGCCACAAGCAGCAGCAGCAGCAGTGGGAGCAGGAGCAGCGCGACACCGAGCACCTGCCCAAGGCCTCGTCGTCCGCCTCCTCGTCGTCCTCCTCGTCGACGGCCACCACAACGGCCCTGACGGCCACAGCGGCCTCGCTGGCCCCCTCCGCTTTCAATCTGGTGGCCATCCTGGCGGCCAGCAGTCGTAAGCGGGACAGGCGGAAAAGGTCCGCCGCTGCCGCTGCCACGGGATCAGCAGGTTCCGGTGCGGCCACAAGGGCGGACATGCAGCTGGTGGAGATGGCCTCGCAGCGCCAGCAGCAGCAGCAGCAGCAGGAGGAGCAAAACGAATACTCAAGACCCTATGTTAATAGAAACCTAGAAACCCTAAGCCCAGAGCAAACCCTGCAGCTACCACCACACCTAAACGTAAGCCGTAATCTAAACGTAGATCTTAGTCTATATCTAAATAGTGATAGCGATAATGTTAATAATGCAATACCTGCCTTGCCAAAAAACTACAACTACAACTACTTGTACAGTAACGAGCATTATAATATGAGTACTAAAAGTAGCACGACTGATTCTAGTAGTTTAGAGACTAGCACTAAGTTCGATAGTCCAAATAGCCATAGCCATAGCCATAGCCAGAGCGCGTTCAATCAGAATATTGACAATAATCTTAAGCAATCCAACGATCGAATTGACAGTGTGGCAGATGAAGCCGCTACGAAAGTGGAGCCAGGGGCAACAGCGGAAGCGGAAACAGTTATCGAAACTGTGGCGGAGAATCGCAATCATATTGATGCTAATAATATAGTCGACGATGGCTCTCCCATCGAGGAGGAGCACGAAAAACATATTCTAAAGAAGCTTTTTCGTAGCCTAAACCTGCCACAGCCGCAGCAGCAGCAGCAGCAGCCTCAGCAACAACAACCTAATATTGATAACTATAATGCAAATATTAACGTTGTTAACGATAACGATAACGATAACGGGCTGCTGATCAATAATAACCATAATAGTAATTATAACGAGCAATTTGCGAATGACGATGAAACGATACGAATTCAAAATAATAAATATGAAACACATATAGTACAATACAAACCTGTGGTATTTATTTCGAAAATAAACCCCTCCTGTGTTCCCAGCTGCTAGTGGCAAAGACTTTCAAATTAAAGGTAAGATTATGGGTAAGACTCCATCTGCCATTCCCTGCCCACAACTAGCTAAAATGATGTCTCATAAACCGATCTATAGGTAACTAGTCCTTGTCCTTCCAACCGGAAAGCATATTTGGCTGATATCCCCCCTCAAGCATTTTTTTGGACACTCAATTTGAATTGGAATTCCCCACTGAAAAATATTGGAAAAAAACCACAACAACAAAATTCCACACATAATACGAAAATCATGTTAGATTTGATAAGAATCTCGAACAATGTGTAAATCGAACGTCGCCTATGACCTCAATCCGTTTGGAGCGGCCAAAGTCGCCGCCGAGTCGCGGGCAAAACGCGTGGGCGATTTTCGGCAATTTTCATCACAAAAGATGCTTTGGGGGCTAAGGGAAAATATCGATGTTTGATAGCATGTCAGGGGGCATGTTGACACCGCATAAATCATAAATCATAAATAAATAAAGATTTCATATTAATTTATGCAAAGCATCCGAGATGTATGGCGTGTCTGAAATTAATTAACCAACATTTTTGTATGCTGAGGCGACGTATGCAAATTTTACCCGCAAGTGCGACCAGTGATCAGTGTCGACTGTCGGTCCTGGCTTTTCTACTAAATCTCCGACGGGTCTGGTCTGTCCAAAACAAAAGGCGGTGGGCAGGGTCGGCCAAGTGGCGCCGCGAAAAACGCCAACGCCAACGCCAACGCCAGAGTCGCAGTCGGAGACGGAGTCGCTAATGAAATTTTATTATACGCTCAGAGTAATAATTTATAAATTTGTTTAACAAAAAATAAATTTGTTAAGCGATAAATTTAAATACGCAAAGCACTTGCCACTTTTGTAAGGCGCTGTCGGTGGCACCTCCCAGATGCTCTCCAAAACTGAGAACCTCCATCAAGCCTTGGCTCGTTTTGGGTATAGATCTGGGAGATCTGATCGGATATCTAGTTGGAAGAACAGACATCTTAATGAGCACGGCGATGGCTATAGCTTGATTCCGATTTATAGCTAGCCTCTCGCCAGAGTCAAGTGAATTATTTTGTTTATTTCCATGAAATTTCAAGCTCAAAATTATGTTCGAAAACTTGAATGTTACACCTCTGTCTAGGCAGATCAGCCGGTTTGGGGTTCAAATGAGATACAAAAATTTGCATGAGAATATGTCTCGGTTTGGCGTCAAAATATTTCAACGGCAAATAGCTCACTGGTTTTGAGTAGCGTCGAATTTATCACCCGAGGAGCAGTGCAGGAACAGCCTGGCTATAGGAATGTCGGTCTTATATGCAAATTATTTAATTTTATTACTTTCTTGTATACAACAAATACCATTATATCTATTTTTTTGTTGACTTTCGGCCCCGATCGATGGTTTGGCGCCTTCGAAAATTTCGTTTGAATTTTGTGGTTGACTGAAGTTGAATGTTTATTAGCCAAATTAGCGTGTCAGGTGAAATTTAAGCAGATTTTAGTTGAGCCCCTGGCTGTTTATGGGAAAATGATTCGATCCGCTTACGGTCGGGCATCTGAGAGATGCTTTTTTATGCGTTTATTTTTATGACACTTATTCTAATGAAGAAACATTTTAAGCCACAGCTTAAGTGACGGAAATACCTATTCAGCCCCCAGTCCCAGTCCCAGCCACAGGCACTACTGTATCTGAGAGATTCATATTCATGTTGATTTTTAACCATTTTTCAAGTGCAGCTTACGCTGAGATTTTGCCAACTCTGATGACAGCCAGCCATTACGCGAGATTAGTTGGCGGCTTTATTTAATTGTTGAAAATTAAATACATTTCTTGAGAAGCCGGCAGATGGCAGATGGAAAAGGAAAGTACAGAAATTGTTGTAGCTATAGAAAATTCTTAAACCCCTGAAGCATTTGCCCCAAAAAATTATGATTAAATCAATGCGAATATATGGTCGTTATTATGGTATATGTAGCAAACCACAAAAGCCACAAAATCCGCTTTAATGATGTATGCGTCGATTATTAACAATTTGGCGCCATTTAAACGGCGCGACATTTTATAATGCAATAACTAAATCCAGCCACGAATCTGTCTTCGTAAAAGGGGGGAATTTAATGGCATCGTTAAAACAAATATCGAAAAGGAACCATGAGGGCATCACAAAATAACGTTTTACGACTTTCGCGCCTTAGAACCAGCTCACTCACTATTTGGTTTATTTCGATTCGGCCATACACATTTTTGTGTGCTTCATGCCATATAGTATACGGTATATACAATGTCTGGTATGGGGAATTCCGATGTTCGAACCGGTTTTCGGGGTTCGGTTAAAATTAAAATCTGACGCGCACTCAATTAAGTTTATTGCATTGCAAATCATGTCCGTAACCCATTTTTATGACAGTCCAGAGGTGTCAAGATGATTTGTCAATGTTTGGCCACGCCCAGGCCCCACACACCAACACCAGCAGACACTCGCCCACTCCTAGCCGATCCCCTCCCCCCGCCTCCCCCTCACTGGCCAGGTCTTACGGCAACTCGTTGTGGCACTCGCCTTGATGGAATGCTAACTGTAGCTGTGACTCGTTGCATCTTCCGCTCGTTTAAAGATAGATTGCGGGTGTTTTTCCGACTCCGTTCGGTTCCGTAATTAGCCACTCACTGACCTTCCTCATTGCCGGCGGCACCTTCCCTGGGAGCCGCCTTGTTCTGTTCTGCCATTGTGTTCTTTAACAACTTTTCTTTTTTCTGGGTTCCAATTTCGCTGCGGCCTTTAAAATGGGTTAAAGTCTTTAAGCATTTTTATGGGAAGCGAGAAATGCCTTCCACTCAATAGATCATCGCGTGGGCAAAGTGAAAACGAGGAGTTCTGGTGACCCCAATGGGTGCTCTCTGCTTATATCTTTGGCTCCTAAAAATCACATTTCATTGTTGTGCTTTCAATGGTAGCACAAGTATTTCAAATATTTGCCAACACCTGGAAAAAATGTGGCTGCAAATATGGAAAAATGTACAGCTAAGCGGCTTGTTTAGGTGGCTGGCACGTCACAGACATGAAATATTTCTGCCATATCAGAGAGCATGGTTTTTGGGCTTCGGCTGGCCGTCGCGGGGGCAAGGTGGAAGCCACGTCGAAACGGCAGCTAGTTGACCAGTTACCCCACCTGTCAATCCCCCATAGACTAAAGACTTAACAATTTGACAAATAGCCGGGCCAAGCAGCTGCATGCAGCAGCCGAAAAAATCTACATAAATTCTCACCTACGAGTATTGCCACAAACCGACGGCGATCTCGAAGGCAATGGGAAAAACGCAGACGAGCAGAGATACATATTTGTTTTTCGATTGCATTGTACCCAAAAATTATAACCCCTCAAAATGAGTACAGGGCTGCATTCCATTTGTGGTGAAAGGCAGATGCGTTCACAATCCCGTATTGTAATTATACAAGTATCAATAGTAATAAACAACAATAAACAGCTCCGATTCGTACGATTCTGATGGAGAGATTCACGTTACGAAGTTACGACAAAACCGCACCGAAATCGCCAGCGAAACGCGCAAAATGATTTCCAATAATAGCACAAATTGTAGCCATTAATTTATTCAAATGAGGTGAGGCACAAGAGGGCGGGAGTTCGTGGGAACATACGCACCAAGAGAGAGTCAGATCAGCACTATTGCGAATGCCTCACCCTATTATGAACTTCACTTGGAGCGAGAGCACTCATTCCTTTTCGATTCTCTCCTTCATAGCACTATTCCATCGTGGAGTGGGAAAGGGACAAAACTTGACGAATTTTCAAGCAAGCACAAACACACACACAAACGAAAAAAAAAAGCGGGAGAACGAAAAAATTACACATTTTAGATTTTGCCACATAAAAAAAAGAATTTATGTCAAATAATATGTTCTTCTACACATCTGTATTTGTATCAAATATATAAAACAAATATAAATATATCACACATTGATGCACTTTTCCTTCGACGAGCTGATTTTCTGCCTTTTTTGCGCCCCCGCCCTTTTATCAAGCGCATTATTTTGCCTTAAACGCACATTTTCTTCCACTAAAACACTTTTTTTGCACACCAAACTTCACTACACACCTGCGGGACATTTTCCCTGTCTGATTTTCCACCATTTTCCGAATTTTCACCGATTGAAACGCGGAGCCGACTTGCAAACGCACGCTTGGCGCGGGTGAAAAAATTTGAGTGAGAACGATGCAAATGCGTTAATTCTTTGATCTCCTTCTCCTACTCTTTCTATTTGGTCTCTCTCCCACGGTCTCTGGAGTACTTTTGTTTATGCTCATCTCTACTCCTTGTCTTCATCCTCTATTACTGCAAAACGAGAGCAATTAAATTAAGTAATTTTACAGAGAGATCAATTACTTTAAATAAATTGAGTAATTTCGCCAAGCGCTGCACCTACACCGCGCACTGTAATTCACCCACCAGTCTCTCCATCTCACTCCCACAACCACACGGGTTTGGTCTCTGTTTTCAGTAGCCGAGGAAGTAGACAAGAAGCACGATGAAGCTCCGCGCAGGGAGCGTGGGAGAGAGAGCAAATAGGAAGAGGAGAAGGAGATCAAAGAATGAACGCACTTGAGCCACTCTCACTCAAATTTTTTCACCCGCGCCAAGCGTGCGTTCTTTAGTCGGCTCCGCGTTTTAATCCGTGAAAATGCGGAAAATGGTGGAAAATACTACAGGGAAAATGTCCCGCAGGTGTGTAGTGAATTTTTGTGTAAAAAAAAAAGTGTTTTTGTAGAAGAAAATGTGCGTTAAAGCAAAATAATGCGCTTGATAAAGGGCGGGGGCGCAGAAAATCAGCTCGTCGAAAGAAAAGTGCATCAATGTGTGATATATTTATATTTGTTTTATATATTTGATACAAATATGTGTAGAAGAACATCTTATTTGGCATAATTTCTTTTTTTTTATGTGGCAAAATCTAAAATGTGTAATTTTTTCGTTCTCCCGCTTTTTTTTCGT